ATATATATATATATATATATATAGGGATAAAAAAGAGACAAAAAGGAGACAGTTTGTTATTTAAATCTATTTATTTGTTTATTATTTATTTTTATTGAATTAGTAGATAGGCAGTCTATCCATACCTGCTGCTGCTGTTCCTGTTGCTGCTGCTGCTGCTACAACTACTTCCGCTGTTGCTGCTGCTGGTGCTGCTGCTGGTGCTGGCTACACCAAGATAGCTCCCTAGCTAGCTAGTTAGCTAGCTAGCTTGCTAGTCCATGCTGCAGCAGCAAACGCGTGTATAGCGGTATATTAACTGCCAAACAGCCAGCGTCCTTGGCAGCAGCAGCAGCAACAGCAGGTTCATACTTAGAGCACCAGCAGCTGCTGCTGCCGTTGCAGTTATAGATGCAGCAACAGCAACAGCAACAGCAGCAGCAGCAACCCCATGGGGTGCAACTGCCCCTGAACTGGAGAGCTGCTGCTGGGATTACTACACCTTTTGCTGCTGCTGTTGCTTTTCTTGTTGCTGCTGCTGTTGCTGAATTTCCTGCTGCTGTTGCTGCATTTCCTGCTGCTGCTGCTGTTGCTGCATTTCCTGCTGCTGCTGCTGCATTTCCTGCTGCTGCATTTCCTCTTGCTGCTGATGGCACAGCAGCCGAAGAGATACATATACTAGGGTTCGTTGCTGCTGCGAGGGCAGCAGCAGGAGCAGCTGCTGCTGCTGCTGCTGCTGCTCTGAGGTATTACTCTGCTGCTGCAGCGATGGAGAATCTGCTTCGGGTTGAAAGAACTGCAGCGGCAGACTGCATGCGATCTGCAGCAACAATAACAGCAGCAGCAGCAGCAGCAACAGCAGCAGCAGAGTTTTGTGTGGGTTTGCTGCTGAGTGCAGCAGCAAACGAACAGGCAAGGAAAGGGTTAGGCACCAAGTGATAGATAGCAGCAGCAGGGGCTGCTGCTGCTCCAATAGCAGCAACAACAGCAGCAACAGCAGCAACAGCAGCACAGTTTGTGGCTTGCCTGTAAGATGACTGCATGCGCATCCTCTCCCCTTAAATCTACGGGGAGTTCAGGAGCCACCTCCTGCAGCAGCAAATGCAGCAAATAGTAAGTACAGCAGCAGCAACAGCAGCAGCAACAGCAGCAGCAACATCACATTGATGGGTATATAGACATAAAAACATGTCGCAGCAGCAGCAGCAGCAGCAGCAGCAGCAGCAGCAAGTCGTGCAGCAAAGCCAAAAGTCCGCAGCACCAAAAGATGCAGTAACAGCAGCAGCAACGGAAGCAGCAGCAGCAGCAACAAGGGAAGCTGCAGCAGCAGCAACAGCAGCAGGCGGAGGAGTAACTAGCCTTCAAGTCGTCTGGCAGCAGCACGTTCTCTATCTGAAAAAAGCAGCAGCAACAGGAGAAAGCCAGCAACTTTGCTGCTGCTGCTGCTGCTGCTGCTGCAATTGCCACAGCTGCAGCAGCTGCAACAGCAGCAGCAACAGGTAACTATTATCTGCAGGTTTTTGGTGCTGGAAGCAAAGGCAAAAGGCCAGCAGATATTGTTGCTATTGTGTTGTTGCTGCTGCTGCTGCTGCAGCAGCAGCAGCAGCAGCAGCAAAGTGCAGCAGCTAACCTGGTGCAGCGGGATGTGCAGCTGCCCGATGCGGTAGCCAGTGGAGGAGAAGAGACGCAAGATGACGCCCTGCAGCAGCAGCAACAGCAGCAGTACCACCACCAACAACCGGGTAAGGAAGGGCGAGCGCAGCAGCAACAGCAGCAGCAGCAGCAGGAGCAACTGAATCCCCGAACATCCCCAGCAGCAGCAGCAGCAGCCGCATCTCCATCATCCCCAGCATCCCCAGCACCAGCAGAAACAACAGCAGCATTATCCCTATGAACAGCAGCAGCCAGCAACAGCAACAGCAACAGCAACAGCAGCAACAGCAGCAACAGCAGCAGCAGCAGCAGCAGCAGCAGCAGCAGCAGCAGCATACATGATTATCTTCATCGAAGTTAATAAGGACATTAAATTGTTTTTGTTTTTCTTTTGTAAGAAGCCATCCTCTAAGGGAACCATCTCTTAGCTGTACATACACCCCAATTATTATTATTATTATTATTATTTATTAACAAATACTGCAGCAGCAGCAGCACCTGCTGCTGCTGCTGCTGCTGCCGCTGTTTCTGGTGGTGGTGGTGCTGCTGCTGCAGCTTTTGCTGCTGCTGCAGGCAGTCTCATCCGGCTACTCTACAGCAACGACCGAAGGAGGCAGCAAGCAACCTTCTATGGGTAAGCAGCAGCAGGCAGCAGGAAGAGAAACAAATAGCCACAGATCCAGCAGCAGCAGCAGCAGCAACAGCAGCAGCAGCAGCAGCAGTAGGAGTAAGACGACTGACACTTGTGGTTGTCTTTGTTCTATTGGTGAATATGTCTACTGCCTTCACAAGAAAATTGTATTCCTCCTGAGTGTAAGACAAGCAGCAGCAGCAGCAGCAGCAGCAGCAGCAGCAGCAGCAGCAGCAGCAGCTACAACATTCACAACCGTACAAGCAGCAGCAGCAGCAGCAGCAGCAGCAAGGACGTGTTGCGGCAAAAGGGTGGCTCAGTAGGAAGGGAAGAAATTGTATGAAGGTATAAGGGCTGCTGCTACTGATGCTGCTGCTGCTGCTGCTACAGCAACCAGGCCGGTAGCAGCAGCAGCAGCAGCAGCAGAGGCAGAGTTTGCAGCAGCAGCACTCGCAGCAGGAGAACCGGCTACAGCAGCAACAGAAGCAGCACCAGCAGCTGCAGCAACAATACTAATACTAACAGGAGCAACAGCAGCATCAACGGTACCAGCAACAGCAGAAGCAGCAGCAGCAGCAGCAGCAGCAGCAGCAGGTATTACGGAGTTGATGTGTTCTCCTTGGCTGTCCAACCGAGATGCTGCTCGCAGCAGCAGCTGCTCCCAGTCTATCTCTGCTTCTGCTGCTGCTGCTGCATCAGGTGCTGCTGTTGCTGCTGCTGCTACTGTACCACCAGCAGCAGCAGCAGCAGCCTGCAGCAAACTGTCCGTTGGCCAATCAACTTGCGTTTCTTCTGAGGGAAAAGAGATGTGGGAATTCTTCAGTTGCTGCATTTGCTGCATTTGCTGCATTTGCTGCAGTTGCTGCATTTGCTGCAGTTGCTGCAGTTGCTGCTGCTCCTCTTGGTATGGGAAAGAAAGATGCTGTAGGAATTGCTGCTGATGTTGTTGCAGCATGTGCTGTTGCTGAAGTAGCTGCTGCTGCAGTTGCTGCTGTTGTTCCCACTGCATTTGTTGCTGCTGTTGCTGCTGTTGCTGCTGCTGCTGCTGCTGCTGCTGCTGCTGTGTGTCTATAAATGATGCTGTGTCTGAGGGGATCAAACTAAGCAATGAGCCAGTGCATGCTTTTAGTAGGGGGAAGACATCCCAGCAGCTGCTGCTGCTGCTGCAGCTGTTGCTGCTGCTGCTGCTGCAGCTGTTACTGTTGCTGCTGCAGCTGTTGCTGTTGCTGCTGCAACTGCTGCTGCTGTCTGTCTCGACCCCAAACAGACGCCTAAAGAATTGCACTGCTGCTGCTGCTGCTTCTGCTACCAGCAGCAGCGAACCTTCAACAGCAATTGTTGTTAATGCAGCAGGAGACCCTGGAGACCCTGCTATAGCATCTACTGCTGCTGCTGTTGCTGCTGCAGCAACAGCAGCAAAAGGCCCGTCGCCAGTAGGCAGCTCCGGTGTCCTTGCACCATTTATTTCCTGGCCTTCTCTAAGGAGAGGAAATGTATTAAACCCAACAGGCTCGCCTCTGCTGCTGCTGCATGTGCTGCTGCTGAGGCTGTTGCTGCAGTTGCTGCAGGTTATAATGCTACTAGTGCTGCTGCTGCTGCTGCTGTTGTTGTTATTGTTGTTGTTGTTGTTCCTTCCCCTCCTCCTTCGATGCAGCCGCCCCACCTCTCTTGCACTCCCGTTGAATTGGGAGAAAATCCCCATAATTGCAGCAGCAGCATCTGCTGCGCCTTGCTGCAGCTGCATTTTCTTAGGGAAAGAGCAGCAACGGACGTATCCAAGGAAGCAGCAACATCAGCAGCAACAGCAGCAACAGCAGCAGCAGTAGAGGCTACAGGAAAAACGCCAGCGAGCAGTTTTCTTTGGTCCTAAGCAGCTTATAAGTTGCTGCAGCAGCTTCTGCTCCTGCTGAGCTGCAGCAGCTGCAGCAGCTGCAACAGCAGCAACAGATCACCCTTGAGGTAGCGGCTCTAAGCTACCATGGTCAACAGCAGCAGTAGGAGCCGTAGTAGTAACGTCAGCAGCAGTAGAAAAAGGAAAAGTAGCAACAGCAGCAGCAGCGGCAGCAGCAGCAGCGGAGATGACGGCAGCAGCAGCAGCAAAGACGGCAGCAGCAGCACCGGTGCAGCTCGGCAGCAGCGGGTGCCTCAAGGGAGTATCGCTTAACCCTTTTAGAAGAAGTACAAAGCCTAAAATATCTTAGAAGGCCAGTGTCTGTTGCTGCAGCAACTAGCAGCAGCAGCAGCCGCAGCAGCAGCAGCAAGTAGCAGCAAGAAAAAGGCTGTCTTATAGTTGGAAGTTTCTGTATAGAGTATTCAGTAGTCCTTCTTTTATTTTTCTCTATTTATTTGGTTGCTAGAAGGAACAGGAGCAGCAGCAGCGGCAGCAGCAAGAAAGCAGCAGCTTCGGCAGCAGCAAGCAGCAGCAGCAGCAGCAGCAGCAGCAGCAGCCCGAAGGTGACCTGTGAAGAGTTTGCTGCTCTTTAGGGCTTTTTGCATCTTTTTTTCTTTGTCTTTTATTAAATTGTTTTTTTCTTTATTTGTTTATTTTTATTTACCCTTAAAGGCAGCAACACTCCTTACTTATTTCAAGAACCAACACAACCTCCACCAGCAGCAGCAGCAGCAGCAGCAGCAGTAGCAGCAGCAGGAGCAGCAGCAGCAGGAACAAGGTCCTGTAGGTTTTGCATTCGTTGAAACTGCTCCCAGGAAAAACAACATGCACAGATACATCCTGCTGCGCTCTGGAGCTGCAGCAGCAACAGCTGCAGCAACAGCAAGATCACCAGCAACAACAACAACAACAACAACAACAACAGCAGCAGCAGCAGCAGCAGCAGCAAGAACAGCAGCAAGAGCAACAAGTGTAGCAGCAGCAGCAACAACAACAACACCTCCATACCCCCGTTTGAATTCCAGATCTTGCTCTCTTCTGCTGCCATCTGGTGCAGCAAGAGAAGCAGCAGCAGCAGCAGCAGCACCAGCAGCAGGAGCAGCAGGAGGAGCAGCAGCAGGATTCATCGATCGTCGTTGGTTATCTAATTCATCAAACTCTCCTGCATCATCACCACCACCACCAGCAGCAACAGAATCAGCAGAATCAGCATCAGCAGCAGCAGCAGCAGCAGCAGCAGCAGCAGCAGCAGCAGCAGTACCTGCAGAGGCTACACCTAACCCTAATGCATTAAAGTTTAGACCTTTGCTGCCTGGTCCTCTTGTTAACCAAAAAGGAAAAATTATCTCTAAACATTTCCATACACAGTCTAATGGTATTCTGCTGCTGCTGCTGCTGCTGTTGCTGCTGCTGCTGCTGCTGTTGGTCGTGGTCGTTCTCCTGGTGGTGGTAGTGTTACTGCTGGTGTTGTTTCTGTTGCTGCTGCTGCTGCTGCTGCTGTTGCTGCAGCCAGCGAACACGCACGATACAGAATGTTAATGCTAAAGGTTTTGCCATTTGTCTCTGCTTGTGCTTCTGCTGCTGCTTCTGCTGCTGCTGCGTCTGCTGCGTCTGCTGCTGCTGCATTGCAGACCTTTCCGACTCGCCTTTGGCTCAGGCCGTCCTCAAGGTGTGATGCTGTTGCTGCTACTGTTGCTGCTGCTGTTGTTGGTGCTGCTGCTACTATCCTGCCTGCTTCTATTGTGTTGCTGCTGTTGTTGCTACTGCATCTCCTAATGGGGCAGTAGGTGTCATTTGCTGCTGCTGCTGTTGCTGCTGCTGCTGCTGCTGCTGCTTATTAGGTAGAAGGCGTGTCTTCTGTATTTGTTGGTGAGGGTTTTGTCTCCGTCATAAAGAAAGGAGAAGCAAAATGGGCTGATCTACAACCCCTTATAGTACAAGCCATCAGGTCAGCAGCAGCAGCAGCAGCAGCAGCAGCAGCAGCAGCAGCAGCAACAGCAGCAGCAGCAGCAACAGCAGCAGCAATAGCAGCAGAAGCAGAAGCAGCAGCAAGAAATTAAGCAGCAGCAATGGCTAGCCATCCGGATTTTTGTGGGACTACGTGGTGACGTTCCTCATTTCTTCTTGTTCCTGCTGCTGCTGTTGCTGCTGTTGCTGCTGGTGCTGCTGCTGTTGCTGCTGCTGCTGCTGGTGTTGCTGCTGCTGCTGCGTGTTCCACAGCTCGTCGATTCCGGCTCAGGTGGAGATGGCAAGAAAAACTGCAGCAGCAGAGAGGGAAGCAGCAGCAGAGGCAGCTGCAGCAGCTGCTGCTGCCAAAGAAGCAGCAGCAGAAGCAGCAGCAGCAGCAGGAGTACATAACGAGGAAGAAGAAGAATTATTTAATTCTATTAAAGAAATACTAAACAGCAGAACACGACCTATGCTGCAGGTAGATCGCTGTGCTTCTTGTCTTGCTGCTGCTGCTGCTGCTGCTGCTGCTGCTGCTGCTGATGTTACTGGTGCTGCTGGTGTTGATACTGCTGCTGCTGACGCTGCTGCTGCAGTTGCTGCAGCCGCTGCTGGTGCTCTGATGTGCCGCTGCTGCTGGTATCTTTTAGCCACGGCTGTTTCTGCTGCTGCTCTCCGTCCTACCTCTTGCATGCATTGTTGCTGTTGCATCGCTGCTGCTGCTGCTGCTGCTGCTGCTGCTGCTGCAGAGTGACGGAGGAGACCTAGAGGTATTAGGATTTAATATAGAGAAGGGTGAGGTGTACATACACCTGACGGGGAGTTGCCAAGGTTGTCCATCATCAACAATTACTGTTAAGAGAGGAATTGAACAAATGCTACAGTACTATTATCCAGAGGTAAACCCTAAACCCTAAACCCTAAACCCTAGAAACCATACAAACCCTAAACCCTAAAAACCACGCCATTAACCTCTATCTCTTAACACCAGGCCATAAACCCTAAACCATGGGACTAGCAGCAAGTATTGTGAGTATTGTTCGCATGCATTCCTCCCTCTTCGTGCCACGCCTAAGCAGCAGCAGCAGCAACAGCAGCAGCAGCAGCAGCAGCAGCAGCAGCAGCAGAGTTGAAGGGTTGTTTGCTGCTTCTTGCTGCAGGTGAAGAGTGTCGTTCAATGTGACGAGAATGGAGAACCGATAGATCCAGAAGAAGAAGAAGAATAAGCAATGCAGGGGCTGCTGCTGCTGCTGCTGCTGCTGCTGCTACTGCAGCAGCAGCAGCAGCAGGTGTAGAAGTGCGTGCTGCTTAGCAGCAACACTTGCAGCAGCAGCAGCTGCTGCTGCTACACAGCAGTTTGCTGCAGTGGAGGTTGCAGGAAGACTTCCTATTGAGTGTCACGGCGATTCAACTAATTAATTAATTAAATTAATTAATTAATTAATTAATTAATTTAATTAATTAATTAATTAAATTAGTTAATTGTTTTTCTTATTTATAAGGGAAAGAAATAAAAAAAGAAGAAAAAATTCCCTGCACATAACCAAGAGGAACAACATAGGGAGTTCCCCTTCCTCAATATATTTTTTGTGTATATTAACACATATTAATTTATTTACTATTTATTTATTTATTTATTTATAAATAAATAAATATATTATAGATATATCTGCTGCTGTGTACTATTTCTGCTGCTAATATATGTATAGCAGCAGCAACAATCTGTTTGCTGCATCTAATTGCCAAGAAGAGAGGGACAACATAGAAATTAATAAAGATAAAATAATAAAAATATTATTATTGCATGCAGAAGGAAGTTCTTCTTCCTTGGGGCTGCATGCGAGTGTATCTTCACCATCACTAATTGCAGCAAAAGGGGAATTGTTGCAACAAATGCAGCAACTTGTGCTGCAGTGCAGCAAATTGCCTATTAACTTTTCCCCTTTATTTAACAGTAACAAATGCCTCTTTATTGCTACCTAAACTATTAAAGAAAGTAGAGGAGAAAAGATCCTTTTTTGTTTCCCTATCTTTTGTATTTCCCCTTCTTTTCTGCCTACGGCGGATCTGATTCCTATGACTGTTACTATAGAGGTAGGAGTTGAATATTCATTACTTAGAGGGAAAAAAAGTATTTTATTCCCTTTTATTTATATTTATTAATTAAATTGATAAAATGCTTCTAATTGATTTATAAATTACACAAAATAAAACATAAGAAACATTCATACCCATGGTGGTGGTGCAGTTGCATGCATGCGCATGCACTGCATGCGCAGTATATAATATAATTATACAGCATTTTTTATCTACATTTTTAGATAAACAAACAAATCAAAGAAATATTAATTAATGATTTTAATTTATTTGCACACATTTGCCTTTATTTCTCCTTAAATTACCCGTTGTGTTTCCCCCTGTATTAGCAGATAACTTATTTGGCCGTGGATCTACTGCCAATCGTTGCTTGTTTTGCCTCCTTTTGCTGTTATTTTATATTAAATTTAGTATGATTAGATTAAAAAATGCATTATTTATTGAAAATACGCAAGAGGAGATGGCATACTAGAGAATACATAAAGGAGAAAGCCCCAATAAACGGCTGCCGCCCCACAGCCCCGCCGCTCGTTGTCTACCTATAGAATGCCTCCTTAGCATGTAAGCATAAGTCTTGGGGGTCTACGAATACGCATTTCCTTTGTTTGATGTTTTTTCTCTCTTTTATTTAATTGGCCTTCGCTTATTGGTGTTCTTTAAGGACTGCGAAAATGGCCAAGTCAAAGAACCACACCAATCACAACCAGGCAAGCAGCAGCAACAGCAGAAACAGCAGAAACAGGAACAGCAGCAACCATTTTTCTTAACATTTAGACCCTCACAATTCTTTTTATTTCTTTTTTTATTTATTTTCTTATTTATTCGTCATAATCTGTTCATATATATTTGCTGCAGCAGCAGTATACAGCAAGCCAAGACCCACCACTATAGGAAGCAAGCAGAAATAGCCGTGTCTATATCAACAAGAATAGTGTGTATATTTTATTTATATTTTCTTATTTTATTTATATTAATTATAATAAATAAAAGAATAATTAATAAAAAAAGATCTTCTTTTTGTTTTCTTGTATCTGCAGAACAAGAAGAACCATCGCAATGGTATCAAGAAAGCCCCTAAGAGAAGAAAAACATCCACCAAGGGGGTAAGAAAAAGACGCTTTTTTTTCTCCTTTTTTTCTCCTTATTATTCTTATAATTAATGTATTATAATTAGTTCTTTTTGTGTACTTTTTGTTTCCTGTTTTATAGATCTAAATACTTTCCTAGTGATTGTTTTTTCCTGTATTGTTCATGAATTATTTTTCTTGCAATTATTATTGAATTATTCTCTTATTATCTTCTTCTTCTTTTAATGAATTATATATTCTTTTTCTTCTTTTAATTAATTATTTTATTAATATAATTATTATTTTATTTATTCTTTATTTATATATACAAAAAACGACAACATGATGATAAAAAAGCGCCACCGTACTTGTACGGTCCCGATTATTCATGGGGAAATCAGCTTTTGCACGTCAGGCTGACGTTGTCCATCATTATATAAATATATAAATATAAATATATAAATATAAATATATAAATATAAATATATAAATATATAAATATTAATATATAAATACAAGTATATAGAGGCATGTATATATTGTATATATACTATATGTGTGCCTATTTGTACTTACGTGTTGATTTATCTACATGGCTGCATGCATGCGCATATATAACGTTATCGTTATCATGCATGCATGCGCATATATATATTTACGTTATCTGTACATATTCATATTCATATACATAATTTACGTGTAACGTATGCATATACAACATATATATGTATATATATGTATATGCATGCGTATAGTATATGTATTTCGTTAGTCTTTTATTTCTTTATACAAATAATACGATATGTAAAATAAATATATGTATATATAAGTATATAAATATAAATGTAGATAAATAGATAAATAAATATAAATAAATAAATATCTTTTTCTTCTTTTTTTTTTTGTGTGTGTGTATAGATGTGCCCCAAGTTCCTGCGTAACCAGCGGTACTGCAAGAAGGGGATGTTGAAGCAGAAGGAGGAGTAAACATCTTTTGTTAATATTAATTAATTAATTAATTAATTTATTAATTTAATTAATTAATTTAATTAATTAATTTAATTAATTAATAAACATAAACAGTTTAATTAAATATGAGGTCGTATCTCTAGTAAATAGAGAGAGGTAAAGGGAGGGGAATATACAACAATAAGGCTTATTATTATTAATTAGCCAATAAGACGCATTATTTATTTATTGTTTATTCCTCTCAATTATTTTCCTTCTTTTGGATGCAATAAACAATAAACTATTATCTTCTAAGTAAATAAAGGGAAAAAGGGGGGAAAAAAGGAACAAATTGTTCTTTTTCCTAGATAAATATGCGCATAGTATAGATAGAGGTTTGCTTATGTATAGGTAGCAAGAGAAAAAACAATAATACATCATTAAATAACTAATAAGGTGTATATTTACTAATTAGCTAATTAATTATCTACAAAAAAAGATGCTAATTAGTATATTATTGTACTAAGAAGAGTATATACACAAACATAATCAGAAAAAATCAGTTTTCTTTTGTTTTGCAACATTTGCCGGGGAAATAATCGGCATATGCAGTAACCTCTACAACCTATTAGAGGTAATAAATAATAATAAATAATAAATAATAATAAATAATAATAAATAATAAATAGTAATAAATAATATAGTAATATTGTATACGGATATATAACTGCAAGAAGATGGCGGTAATCCAGAGAAAAAGTAGGAAAAGAACAAACGCATGCAAACTTTTTCTCCCCTTTCTTAGGGAAATATAAATAATTAATTATTTATAATTAATTATTTTTATCATTGTTTATTGTATAATAATAATTACTATACAAATAAATACAGGTATAGATACAAATAATAATAGACAAAAACAAAGGAGGAGGTACTATTATTATTACTATTATTTATTTATTTTATATATACGTATTTATATTTATTTACTAATTAATTTATTTATAATTTAGTTATTTTAGGGAACATATCCCTAGTAAACTTAATGGCTGTCTTAGTACTCTCCCCTTTATATTCATGTTTCCTTGAAGAAATACCATTTGCGGGTTTATTTTTTCTTCTTTTTCTCCCTTTTCCTTTATTTATTAATTAATTTATTTATAATTTAGATATTTTAGGGAACATATCCCTAGTAAACTTCATAGCTGCCTTAGTACTACCCTTTATCTTCATCTTTCCTTGAAGAAATGCCATTTGCGGATTTATTTTTCCTGTTGCAAGTTTATAGAAAATATCATCATTAAGAGTAAAACAACAATCATATTTATCCTTGCATGCATTAGATGTCTCACGTACTGTTGGTGGCATTTCTTTTAAATTTATATAAAATGTACAAGGAATATCTTCTTCTCCTTTCTTGCTTGGTAATAAATCTACTCGGTACACACAACCAACCTGCAAAAGAAAAAAAAAAAAAAAATAAATAAAAATTAATAATTTTATGTTTATTTGTTGTTTAATGCGTTGTTATTATATTATTATACAAACTTATTATATATATATAAAGGATTCACACACAAAAGGTAGTTTGTACACACACACATTCATGCATGCATGCATGCATTATGCACACAATATAGAGTATGCATGTGCATGCGCGTGCATGCAGCCCCACAAACAGAAATACACAAATAAGTGTTGATTATTATTATTACTATTATTACTATTATTAATTATTATTATTTATTTATTTATTTATTTAATTATTATACTAACCTGCTTAACCAGCTGTGCGCCTGCAGGTGACTTTAGATGATCTATAAGGAAGGGGAAGAGTCTAGCACTCTGTAGTTTCGATGCAGCTTTACTAAGAATATGTGGTGGTTTTTCTTCTTCTTTTTCTTGTCCTTTTCCTTCTTCTTCTTTCCCTGTAGATTCACCACTAGGTAGTTTTAATTCTTTAATAAACTTATTAACTGCTTCTGTTGGAGAAAGGGAAAGATAATCATCAGTAATTGGAGGAAAAAGATCAGGAGTAAATTTTGTTGCTTTCCCCATATTACCACGAAGTTTCATCTTTCCTTGTAAAAATGCAACTTGAGGATTTAATTTACCTAAACAAATAGAGGTAAATACTTCATCCGCCATGATAAATGTAGCATCTGCTGTACCATGTAGACCCTCCATAGCTCGTCCTTCTATAGAAAACAAACAACACAACACAAGAAAAATAAGAATAACAATAAATAAATAAATAAATAATATAAATAAATAGACAAGAAACTCTACAACACAACATGTTACATATATATAATCCTGCGGTACTTAATCATCATCATGTTAATCCAACAGCAACAAATAGATAAATAATTAACAATAATAATAATTAATAATAAATAAATAAATAAATAAATAAATAAATAAATAGAGGATAGAATCCTTACCTCCATCAGCACGAAGATCAATTGTCCATTTAATGCTAACAGGTTGTCCTTGTTTGGGGGAAACCTCGAAATGAAATGAACTATTCACGTTTTCTTTTAATTTATTTTTTTCTTCTTTTGCACGATCTAAGAAAGCAGAAATTATTCTAAATATTTTTAAAGAATTTAATGATAAATTATCTTTTTTCTTCTCCTCCTCTTCCTGCTGATGATCATGATGGTCCTGTTGTTGCTGTTTATGCTGCTGCTGGTTTGTTCCTGCGGACATTTGTTGTGACGCCTGGACGTAACATACAAACACAGAAAAAGGTCAATAAGAAAAAGACCACAAGACAAGCAACTTTTTGCAGTATATTTCCTCTAAATAAGAATATCTAATAAACAAATAAAGTTAATTAAATAAAGAATCCCCTTCTGTCTTCCCTTCCTTCCTTATCATGTACCAAGGAACCCACCATGACGAGAGAATCCTGTAGAGATGTTGGATAGGAAACATTCGTCCCGAAGTTCATAACTTGTTGCCAATCTCTTGTTAAATCCTCAAGAGTATAAGAAGAAGGAAATACTTTTCCTGGGCTACGCTGCCAACGGACTGCCGCTACCCAGCCAGCTCCTACTTCGAAGACCTGCAGCAATAATAGACGAAGCAATAAAAAAGAAACAAAAAGTATAATTTTCTTTAATTATTCCTCTACTTCATCTGTTCTTGACACCAGCAAGAGAAACAATCTACACTTGAAAATGCATGCTGCATGCGTTGCTGCTGCTTCAATTCAAGCCCCGTCTTGTCACATATTATTTTTATTTACTTGTCCTGTTTCTTTGCATTCCTTTGAACACAGATAAAGAACAACAGGAGCAACACACTCCGGCTTTAATGCCTCGCGAACTTGAGGGGGCAAAACACCAGCAGTCATTCGTGTGCCTGCATGCATATACGCATGCATGCATGCAGAATGCAGTTTATGGTGATATAACATCTTCCCCTTACTAGCCTACCCTTCATTAAACCCTATCACATTAATGAATAAACCAGTACGCACACACACACAAGATAAGTTACCTGCAAGGGGGGCAATGCAGTTAACATGGATATTATATTTCACTCCTTCTGCTGCCAAAGTTTTACTCATCCCGACCAACGCCATCTTCGCCGTGCTGTAGTTCGTCTGCATGCAAAAATCAGCAAAGAAAATCCTTGAAATGGAGATCAGCAATATATTCATATAGCAACACATTCTATCCTTATATTATGCACAACAAAGAAGAGATATCCTATCGTCTTATACGACAACTAAGAACAAAAAAAAACCCTAAAATAAACAAAGAAAACAACACCAATAGCTCACCTGCCCAAAGTTTCCGTATAAACCCGATGCACTCGCAGTATTAATAATGCGGCCGTACTTCTGTCTAAGCATGTGAGGCCATGCGGCTTTTGTGCATGCAAATGCGCCTTTAACGTGTACCTATAAGTATCAGGAAGAATCCATTTAGTAACATCCATGGTTAGGACAGGAAAAAGAGATGCAAATTGTGACTTCTTTTACCCTAACATGACTAAATACGTATTGTTCCTGATAGCTGGCTAGTCCAACAAACTTTGGACTAAATAAATGGACAGCGCGTAAGGAAATATGTTGCTGTGTTCCTCCTATTAGTGTTTATTGGTATTAAATAGTTCAGCTCGTTGTGTTGCAATTGAAGGCAATGAATGAATTGATGGTCATTAATTATTTCTGTTCTAACTTCTCTATTTTCCTTGTTAAATAAACAATAGACATGCATACCTGCATAACGCGATCCCAATCTTGTTCGGTCATCTTAGCAAAAGATGAATCTCTGAGGATGCCGGCGTTGTTGACTAAAATGTCAATTCGGCCAAATGCTCTAATAGCCGCCTCAATTATCTTCGATCCATTCAATACATCGTCGTAATTTGCAATTGCTACGCCTCCTGCCTTCCTTATCTCGTTAACCACCGCATCGGCAGCACGGATGCCTGCATGCAGCAGCAACATGAGTCAATTTGATGTATAATACGGACTTTGGCGGTGATAAGGATTAAATATTCAAGAATAGGAAATGTATAGAGTTGTAATAGATGAAGAATGCTATGAAGAAAGATCGAGTTCAAAGCTCAACAGAATGTCTGGGAAAGCCGACAAGAAATGCAGCCTATGTCGATGAGAGGAGAGGCACAGATGGTTGATTGAAGGAACCGAAAAAAGCAGCAAATGCAAATGGAAGAAGAGGGAAAGTTTTAGACTTTGGTCGTCATCTTGGGAATTTTTACTAGTTTGACGCCATTAGGTCACATAACAAGAGGTTACAGAAGGGCCAAACAAGCAAATGGTAAACGATACCAAAATGGTGAAGAAAATGGCTTCAAGACACCATCTGAGCAAAACTGTGGAAGAGGCACTCTGCAGTCTTCAAATATACAATGAGGAATGAGTCCTAGGAAGCTGATCGGAAGTCGAGGCTGTCAGACAAATGTGTAAAACGATGAATGCGGATGAAACATAAATGCTCAAATCGTGCCAACAGATTCCTTTTCTGGAACTGTCCATACAGCCGAAGCCTCCACTACCTCCTACGCTCCAAAAATTGACCATAACCATGGTACTGCGAGAAAGCAACTGCGGGACCCTAACCCCCCACACCAATTCTGTTACCAGATCGTATTCTCAGCGATATCGCACTGTCCTACAGATTGCATGCATACGTTAAAAAAAAAATCACGACACACCAAAACATATCTGCCTCTCCGCCGAAGGTTTCCACAAAAATGGAGGTAAGGAGATGAAATACGAGTGCCTCACCTTCTCCTTGGGCATCTCCAGCAAGAGCGACCCCCAAGTCATTGACGACAACTTTGGCCCCTCTTTTAGAGAAAGCGATTGCGTACGCGCGGCCAAGGCCCCCTCCCGCCCCTGAAGATACATAGTATATAACCGCATGTTTTTGGTGTCTTTCCATACTTCCGTGCTGCGACTATCAATTCTTTTCGCTGCTGGAACCAACAGCAGTGGCCCGCCTGTGTAGGACTAACTCCATCAGCCGCACGGAGAACCACGCTAAATAAGGTCCCAAGGAGAACAAAATGCCTTTATCTGCATGCAGCTGTCTGTAAAACATCAAAACCCTGAACTGGAAACATGTAGATGACAGTTCTCCTAGTAAAACGAACAAGCAGGCACAAGTCCGAGGCTGAGAGGGTTGTAGGGAGGCGCCTTTGGTCACTTTTATTGTATTCTCACCTGTAATGACGGCCACCTGGCCGTCAAATTGCCTTTCCATATCGTCTTTTATTTATTCAAATAGAAGACAGCAAGTGGTGAAAAGAGGCTGAAGCCAGCAACCCAGAGTACCCCAGCCAGTCGGGGGGGCCCGCCGGAGAGTGCTCGGAACAGGCTTTGTATTTCGGCCGCTGCTCAATCCCAGGAGGCGGGATCCCTGTGTTATAAATCAAATTGGGTCATTTTAAACTAAACAAACAACTGCAAACATTATAAACAGGTAAGAAGAAGAACAGCGACGAGCACACAACGTGTGCAAACTGTTCGCCGGCTGATGACGCCGTTGGTCCGCAGCTAACGCAGCAGCGTCTCGTGTACCTGATACTTTCGAAAGAAGAAATAGCATTAAAAACCTTTTTCACATGTTAATTTCGCTTGATAAGCTTCATCACTAATAAAATCTTAATATAAGGCAGATGCGTCCAACCAGATAGTCGATAGGTAGCCCGTTGATTGGCGAAACTCTTTTTAAGCGATAGCCCGATGTTCTATGCATTGACTTTTGTACGATTTTAAACAACGGCTGTCTTTGAGTGGATTTCGCTTTTATGGCAGTGTTTACTGTGCCCTGTACAGTAGCCAAAAGTGACACTTGGAGACGCTTATACAACGCCATAGAGAGAGCGCTCGATCCATGCAGGAGACCGTCGTGAGCTGCAGGAGAAGCAGAAAGTTTAGGGGGGAAATGCCCCCACACAAATGAGCTGCTCTATGGTTTTCAGACCCCCTGGGGACAGCGCCACCAGGGTCGGTCTGAGAGGGGGCAGGCTGCCGCGATGAACATCACCCCCTTCAAGAAAAAGCCCTCATAGGGGAGGCAGATATCAAAGGAAGGTGCTTTTTTCAGCTGCTCCGGGACTGTAGTGGGTTCAGGGAGAACTGTAGGCGACCGAGGCGAAGTAATTCCCGGGGAGTGAGTAGATAAGAATATAAGGCTCCACTACACGCGTGACGACCGCACACAGAAGTTTATATGTTGGTCAACTTCCTCTACTCTGCGCTGTACACTTGCGGTTTTCGTCTCACAGCGTACATATCCATTGAAAGCGGCTTGCACGTGTTAGAGTAGCGGCCGAAAATTGTTTGCTGTATCTTCATGCCTGTATTTTCTGCTCCTCCATAAACTCCTGAGCAGATGCAAGCGTCATGCGAAAGGCAGCAGCTCAGGGCGGGTGGGGTTGCATTTCCGCAGGGGTAATCTACATAATCCGTATATTGGGAGAATCAGTCTGATGCTCCAAATGTGTCAGACGTTGGCACATGCAACCTTCTTTGGCCTCAGTAAGCAACCTTGACACAAGCAAACGGTTTCAGCAGTTATCTACAGTGTAGCGCATGCAGCTCGGAAGGACTGACTATAGTTGGCTGCTTGTCGTGCCCTAAGTAGCCAGCTTCTGCGCAAGTAGAAATGCCCGTACCCCTGAGCCACATCAAGCTAAACGAGCACCATGAATGCGCTCAACGTTGGCCTTAAGCGCAAATCTCTGAGGGTTTTGGTATCCACTTGTAATAGAGAGAGCAAATGAATATGGAAGTAGTGAGAAAAAGGAGAGGAAACGGTGAAAATACTCCGAAGACAACACAAATATGCCAATTGTCCAAGAAAGAGGAGCAATAGCTGAAGTGACAACAGTAAAAATAATATTTGCTCCTACTCTCCGAATAAGTGCTGGCCCTGTATACATCTATACCCGTGTGTGAACAATCTATGCTCGTCCTGCGGGTTGTTGTTACAGCTGGCACAAACATCACCCACAGCTTCCAGCTGCCAAACAGCTGTGCCTGAGTGTGTAAAAAAAACGCAGTTTAGTTGTTTGGTGTGAACTTCAGCTGCTGCGTGCTTTGCTGCGAAGCTCCTTGCATAATTCATTAACTTCTGTACTGGACACCGGCGTCGTCGATTTCCCCGCAGGACAGCGGCTGAATAAATTGCCATTTGCAGGGTTTGCTGGTAGACCACACAACGAATAAGCTAAAGTTAAAACAGCCAACATGTACAGCCTCAAGCCCGACACAATGCGGTTGCTTTCTGAGATTGCGTCGGCTGTCTTGCACGTCTGATGGCGGCAGCAGCAGAGAAAAAGGGAGGCAGAGCAAGAGGTACATGAGGAAGACGCGATAAAAGGCGCAAAATTCTTGTCAGCAGAATAAACAGCAGAAGTGACCCAAGAAGAACGAGCGAAAACCAGCGTCTCCCCGCCTTAGAGGTGCAAGCCAAGCTCAAGGCTCTGCGCGACCTCTGCATACCATCCGTACCGAAATCTGCAGCAATAAACCTGAACAAAAATGGGAATAAAGACCTATTATACACTTTGTAAACATTTATCAACTGCGAAAACCATTTCTTTTCTCGCTACGTGTTGCTCAGGCGTCCTTTAAGGGCCCGAGGGGCCACCAGGGTGATCTGGCAGGCAGTGGCGCCTCAGCGGAAAGCTGCAGCAAAAGAGCTCCAAATTTTCATTTGGATAAACTCAAAGACGAAATGCTTGGAGGTTAAATGCGAAAAAAACACAACTCAAGCCAACTCTGTTGGAGCGGCGAGCAACTCCCACCGCACGGGTCAACAGAACCTGCCGGCAGACGCGCTGTAAAGCAGCAGCAGCAGGAGCAGCAGCAGCAGTAGATGTTACAGCATTAGCAAAAAGCACTAGGCATGCAACCACAGCAGGAACAGCAACAGCAGCTACAGCAACAACAACACCGGTTGCAGCCGAAGCGGCGCAGTTCGCTATTGCAGCCGCGAAAAACAGCAGCCGCAGAAAGAGCAGCGGAAACAGCATTTTACACAACAGTACCAACTAAAGTAGCGGCAGAAGCCACGGTTGTTGGCCTGTATCTCCTTACCATTGTAGACTGCTGGCATCCGTCACTGCCGCTGCTGCTGCTGCTATTGTGGTTGCTCTGGCCGTCCGTACCAAGAAGCAGCAGCAGCAGAAATGCTGTGGGGCCAGCAATATAAACAGCACTCAACAGGAAAAGAAGGCTGAAGCCTCGGTCCAAAAGCGTCTTTTCCTGCTGCCGCTGCTGGACTCGTTCCTGCTGTTGTTATTGCTGCCGCTGCTTTCTGCAGCGCAGCCAGAATGGCTCCTTGCCATGTTAAGCAGGTGCCCGCAAGCAATACATGCCAGCGCGACGCCAGCATGAAGCGCAGCAGCAGCAGGAGCAGCCGAAGCAGCAGCAGGAGCAGCCGAGGCAGCAACCAGGGCAGCCGACGCAGCAACAAGGGCAGCCGACGCAGCAATGGAAGCAGCCGAAGCAGCAGCCGAAGCAGCGGAAGTAGCAGCAGCAGCAGCAGGAGCAGCAGCGGCAGCAGGAGGAGCAGCAGCAACGGCAGCGGCACAGGCGCGTGTCTGAAGGGGAGCCTTACTTCTCGTGCTGCTATCCTGGAGTCTGCTATATGCGGGACCAGCAGCATCAGCAGCAGCAGCAGCAACAGCAAAATCGGTGGAGCGCAAGACTTCGAGTTGCTTCGATGCCATTCCCACGTATGGTTGTAGTAAATGTTCGCTGTTGCTTTTGCTGCCTGTCCAAGGTGCTCCGAAAGTTACTGCTGCTTGCTGGATGCTGCCGTCCGGTTTTGTTCTATCGTCTGTATTGTTTCTGCTGGTCCCGATTCTACTGCTGTTGATGATCCATGCTGCTGCTATTGATGGTCCTGCTGTTGATGTTGTTGTATACTTGCGCTGCAGATAAAGTTGGAGACTGGCGGGCTGTACACTGGAGGCTGTTTATTGCTGTTGCCTCCACAATGTGGTCGGGCTAAACGCACCATCAGCAACAGCAGCAACAGCATCAGAAACAGGAGGAGCTGGGTTCCTGCTCCAGTTGCGGAGTCGCCGAGTTGGGAGTCCGAGGAACTGCAGCAGCTTGCTGCGGCGCCTGCAACAGTAGCAGCGGGTCCTGCTACAGTTGCTGCTGCTGCTGCGCTGGCTGCTGCTGCTCGAGCTGTGCCGTCTGTGGACTCAGGTGAGCAACAGCAGCGGCAAGTGCAGCGGCATCAGCAACAGGGGCTGCTCCTTAGAGATGGTTGCGGATTCTATTGCTTCAACCGGTTCGCTCGTAGCACCGGCAACAGCAACAACAGCAGTACGGATTCAACTTGGAGTGACAGTACAGACATTAGACTCAGCGACAGTGATAGCAGCAGTATTAGTTTAAGCAGCAGCAGCAGCGGTAGCAGCAGAGGTAGCAGCAGCAATGATGGAGATGCCGATGGTTCATTGAGAGCCAGTGCTCTCTGCAGGAGAAGCAAGCGCAGCAGCAGCAGCAGCAGCAGCAGCAGCAGCACCGTGTGCTGCGGTAACTGCGTGGCTGCGGGTGTTTCTGCGATGACCCAAACAGTAGCAGCAACAGCAGCAGCAGCTTCAGCTGCTGCTGCTGACCTTGGGTGCCCTGCGGCTCTAAGCTGCAGCAGCGGGGACACTGTGACGCAGCTAAGGCAGCAGCAGCGGCCACATCACCAGGGGCAGCAGAAAATGCTTATGCATGCATTTGGTGGCCAGTGGTCTGCAGGTCTGCGCAGCGGCTTGGGGATGGACGTGCAGGTGCTGCAACAACAGAAGCAACTGCAGCAGCGTGCAGGTACATGTTTGCTGCTTCGTTGCGGTTTGTGGGATAACGACCGCCCCAAGGGTTGGGCCGTCCAGGTTAAGCATCAGCAGCAAACTGGCGGCATCAACAGCCGCAGCAACAGCAGCGCGAGCAGCTGTCCTTGTTGCTGCTGCAGCTCTTCTACGTCAGTTGTTTTGGGGGATATGTCCAATGGACAGATGTAAGCTATAAATGTAACTGAGTGGCCTTGCTGCTGCTGTTGTTGCTGCTGCTGTTTACAGGCTGATCAATTTGCTGCTGCTGCCCGTGATGCTTGTGCTACTGTGCCAACATTTAGTGACATGCCTGCTGCTGTCGCAGGTGCTGTTGCTGCAGTTGCCGTTGTTGCTGTGTCGTATATTTTCTCGTTGCTGTTGCTGTTCCTGCTGGTGCAGCGCGCCAGGGCCTCTGGTGGTTGCTTCTGGATGCGGTGTCTTCTTCGGATCAGCCGTCTCCAGCGGCAGCAACAGCAATAACAGCAGGAGAAACAACGGGAGCATCAGCAACGACAACGGGAGCAGCAACAACATCAGCGGGGGCACCAACAGCAACACTAATAGCACCGCTGGCGATAGCAGTAGTGACGTTGCTGCAGTAACACTTGAGGGTATCTGGATTGGCGTTTGCAGCAGCAATAGCTCCAATCGAAGCTGCTGCTGCTGCAGCGGTAACCGCAGCGCGGTTGCCGTTAGGTTGCTCTCCAAAATGCCCATTCCCACCTACAACAGCAGAAACAGCAGCAGCAATAGTAACAGCAGCAGCAGCAGCAATAGCGACGGATCGATACGCAATCTCGAGGAGCTTGTGCCCCTGCCAGACTGGGCCACAGACAGCAGCACCAGCAACAATAGCAAAACCAGCAGCAAAGCTGCTAAGTATAGCGGACAAACGCCAACACCGCCGCTGCTGTTGTTGTTGCAACTACTGCAACAATCGCTCGTTGCTGCTGCTGGGCTGCAGCAACCGCTGCATCCGCCTGGCAGCGATGCGTGCAGCTTAGAGTGCCAACGCAGTCCAGCGGTCTTTTGCACCGAGCCGACGCATGCTGCTACTCTCTTCAGCAGCATGTTCTCTGGGAGGCGACGGCCGCAGCAGCAGCAGCAACCGCAGCAACAGGAACAGCAACGACGGCAACGAGAGCAGGAGGAGCTGGCTAGACGGCAGCACGAGATTCTTTTGCGCATACAGGAAGAACAGCGGCAACAGCAGCTGCAGTACAGGCTAGAAGAAGAAGAAGAACAGCGTCAACTGCAGCAATACGCGAGTAGTACGCAGAATGGTGGTGGCAATGCTGTCGCCCTTGCTGCTGCTGCTGCAGCAGCCGACGTTCCTGCCGCAGTTAGCAGCGCGACCCTTGCAGCTGCAGCCACTGCTGCTGCTGCTGCTGCTGCACGCGCGAACGCGAAGGCTGCAGCGGCGGGCGCTGCTTATGGAGCATCGCATGCAGCAAGGGCGGCAGCAGCAGCAGCTGCTGCTGCAGCAGAACCACTTGCGACGAGACGCAGGACACCTGATGCAGCACCTGCTGCTGCACGTGCTACTGCTGATTCAGCTGACAGTAGCGATTTCTCCTGGTCAGACATCGAAAATGCACTGGAGGACGGAGGGCCAGCCGTATCCGTAACAGCAGCGGCGCCCAGCGGAAGGGCAGCGGTAGGAGTTCCGACAGCAGCTGTAAGCATTGCAGCTGTTGAAGCTGCAGCAGCAATTCGAGAAAAAGCAGCAGCTAGAGCAGTAGCAGCAGCTCGAGCTACAGCAGCAGCAGCGGCAGGCGATTTACAGGCAGTGGGAGATGCGGCGGCGGATGCAGCAAGTGCATTCAGAAGAGCGGCAGCTGCTGCAGGAGCAGCAGCTGCTGCTGCGGGAGCGGAAGCAGCTGCTGTTGCAGGGCAGGCGCTGGAAGAAAATGATATTTGTGGCGCTTCTTGTTGCGGAGATAGGCTAGTAGTGGCAAATACTGCTGGAGGTGACCAGCGGGAAACCAGGCAGCAGCAGCAACAACGGCAAGTTCCGGGCGCGGGATTTGAACCGTTGCAGCAACAACAGGGACAGCTGCATGCGCTGCTGCAGCAGCAACAGCAACAGCTGCAGCAGCTGCAGCAGCTGGTGCTGGCGCAGTCGGCAGGCGGAGGTGACTGGCGGGAGCAACAGCTACAGTCGCTACAGCGCTTTACGGAGCAGCAGCAGCAACTGCTGCAGCGTTTACAGGGGGAGCAACAGCGGCTGCAGCAGCAAGCGATAGAAGAAGAGAGGAAACGCAAAGCTCATCAGGAGCAGCAGCAGCTGCAGCGAATACAGCAGCAGCAGCAACAGTTGCTGCTGCAGAATCGCAACAGAGAACAGCAAGCTCTTGAGTCGGGGCTGCATGCGTTTTTCTTTTCATCGGAAGAAGAGGCATCGGACGGTGACAGCAACACCAACAATAGCAGCAGCAGCTGTAGCAGCAGAAGCTGTAGCAGCAGCACCGGCAGCAGCAGCAAACAGGGTATAGCCTTCACGGCATTTTGTACAACAGAAGTTGACAGGGGCTCAGGGGGAATGCTCAAGTTGCTGCAGCAACAGGAATTGAAGCAGCACTCGCAGCAGCCGCAGCAACACCTGCAGTGGTTACGTAGGGACTTGTGCCTCCCCGCTTCGGCTGCAGCTGCTTCTTCTAATACAAGTGAAATTGCTCGTCTTAGGGCGGCAGCAACAAAACCAGGATCATCAGCAACAACTACAGTGGGAGGCAGTTCGTGCAGCACACACACCAGCAGCCGCAGCAGCAACAGCAGCGGCAGCAGCAACGCTATAATCTTGCCCCTACCTGAATGGGGCGATGGCCCTTCAGCTAGGGACATGGTAGACGCAGCAGCAGCAGCAGAATCTGGTGGTGATACTGCTGCAACAGGGCCTTCCACTTGTGGCCTGCAGCCTGCATCGGCACTGGTCGCTGCTGCGCCCATGTCTGCTGTTGTTGCAGCTGCTCTGTCCAGAACACCTAGTGAATCGGGTAGTATCAGCAGCAACACAGCAGGCAGCATCAGCAGCAACACAGCAGGCAGCAGTACAGCAGGCAGCAGCAGCAGCAGCAGCAGTAGTCGCGGTCTCTCTGAGAAGCGAGGTAAGGGAGGTGCAGGGAGGGGGCTGCTGCAGTTGTTGCCTTTATGGACCAGCAGCAACAATAGCAGCAGCCAACTGCCGCCTTCCAATGTAGACCTTGACGTCGAGCTACCATCTGCGGCAGATGACCAGCAACAACAACAGCAAGACCACTTGCACGATGGGTTTATGGGAGCTGCCGCCGGGCTGCTGCAGCACGCGCAGCAGCAGCTTCGTTGTGGAGCTACGCATGCCAGCACAGGCTTAGCGGCATCTGCTTCTATGTTATGTGAGCATAACAATGCTGCAACAGCAGTTGAAACGGACGACAACAGCTTCGTAATCTCATGGGGAACTTCCCAGCCTTCAGATGCAGCGGCAGCCTTGCAGATTCAACAGCAGCAACGCGAACAGCAGCAGCAACAACAACAGTATCAAGTGCCACCCTGTGGAATTGAGCAACAGCTGCAGCAGATTTATCAGCACAGGGCAGTGATGCTGCAGCAGGCGTTAGGGAGCGAAGGGCATGCAGAGAAGCAGCAACGGGACGAGCAGCTCCTGAAGCAGCCTGCATGCTTGGGCTTGTGTAGCAAGAGCAGCACTAGCAGCAACAGCCAAGGGGACAGCTGCAGCAGCAGCTTCAGCAGTAGCTGCAGCGGCAGCAGCAACAGCACCGACGATGCCATTGGAGGTACAAGTCCGTTTGCAGGTGCTGCAGGCAGCTCGTGGCAGCAGCAGCAGCCTGTGCCACAGCAGGGTTTGGAGCAACAGGAGGGGCACAAGCAGGAGGAGGAGCAGCAGCAGAAAGCTCAGCAGCAGCAGCAACAGCAGCAGCAGCAGCAAGAGGCGGTGCAGCAGCTTAAGGCTGAAACAAACTTTTCGTCTGCTTCACGGACACCCAGCTCAACTGAAGGGCTGACCAAGCAGCAGAAGCAGTCACTCCAGCATTCGGTGCTGCAACAGGAGCCGCAGCAGCAGCAAGTTAGGAAGGATGGGCCGCCGCTGCAACAAGTGCAGCAGCAGCAGCAGCAGCATAAAATGTATTCCCAATCATCACAGCTGCATACCGACCATATGGGACTGCAGCATCACCAGGACCAACACCATGCTGGTGCTGCGCAGCTGCCACAACAAACAGTAAACAGAGAGCAAACAGAGCAGTCACCTGGCCAGAATCAGCAGCACGGAGGGCAGCAGCAACAGCACGGCGAAGCCTGCGGCGTGCACAAGGTGCAACATGCGCTGTTGAAGGATTCTGCAGTTGCTGCAGACAAACCGCATCCATTTCGGTTTTCTCAGCAGCAACAGCAGCAGCGTCAAATGCAGCAGCAGCAACAGCAGAAGGAACAACAGGAGGTGCAGCCATTGAGCCTGCTACTCAATAGCGTATGTGCTTCGCCTCCTTGGAGCAACTTCATAGACGCAGCAATCAAACGGGTCTCGGCTGCCTCATCGGCGGCAGCAGCTGCAGCAGCAGCTGCTGCTGCTGCTGCCGCCAACAGCTCCCCCTCGGACTGGAGACGCACGAGAGGGCAACAAGCCGCAGCTGCTCTTTTTGCTGCTGCTGCAGAACGAGGTGTCTTTCCAGCAACAAAGCCAAAGGTCTTTAATCGAGGCTCTCCGCCACCTCTAACTTCCAAGGCTGCTTCTGCTGCTGCTGCACGGCTCGGGTTGGGGGAAGTGCAGGAGATGGAGCGTAGGCTGTCCACTTTGTCCGGTGCAGGAGCAAATAACACTGCTTCAGAGACCCCAGACAAAGAGGCGGTGTCGACACGATGCGAGCAGCAGCAACAGGAGCAGGTGACGGTGCAGCAGCAGCAGCAGCAGCAGCAGCAGGTGGAGGGCAGCCCAGTCTTGCGACTGCAGCCCAGAAGCAGCAAATTGCACAGTCGCTCCTTATATGAGCAGCAACAGCTCATGATGCTCGAGCAGCACGCGCTGAAGCAGCATCTTGGAGGAAAACAGCAGCAACAGCAGCCGCAGCCTCAGAGCTCTACAGTGCAACTGGAGAACGTCTGGAATCTTGCTGACCTTAGGACGATCGTTGGTTTCCTGCTTCCTCAACAGCAGCAGCAGCATCACTGGCGGCAACAGGCCACCGAGCAGCAGCAGCAGCAACAGCCTAACGCACGCACAAGGAAAAATCGCAGGAACAGGAGGCGTCAAAAGCAGCAGCAACAACAACAACAGGCGGGCGAGATATCAGAGCTCTGGCTGCAGCAGCTGGGGGTACGGGGTATTCCGGAGAGACTTGTAAGGGATTCCTTGCGGCTGTTGCTTCTGGTCTTGCTGCTATTGCTGCTGCTGCTGGCTCTTTTATTGCTGCTATCGCTACTGCTGTTGCCTCTCTTATTGCTGCTTTTTCTGCTGCTCTTGCAAACAACGCGGGAGTATGTCTTGTCGTAAATACTTAGTGGCAACATGTTTCCTTTTGGTTTTGTCGTTGGTGGTGCTGCTGCAGATGCTACTGCTCTTTTTCACATTCCTTCTAGACATCGACCAGGCCGTCTCTCGGCACCAAGTGAGTATACACCCCAAGCAACACCAGCAGCAACAGAAACAGCACAGCAGCAGCATCATAGCAGCAGCGCCACACCAGACGCACCACAAAAAAATTAGCAGCACCTTCACTGTGTGATATTCTGTTTCACCGCATGCGTTGGTTTTCGCAGTGTCATTTGCCTGGCTTCGTTCACTCTCTTCTCAAGCACCGCCAGTCGCTGCTGCTGCTGCTGCCTTCGGCACCAGTAGCAGCAGAAGCAGAAACAGCAACGAACGGTCTAGCTGTAGCACAAGGGCAGCAGAAGGCCGTCCTTTCCGCTATCCATGCGGGCCTTCACCAGTGCCTGCGAGGAGTGGCGGCAGCAACAGCAGCAGAAACAGCAGGAACACCTTCATCTGGCGCTCGCGGGTGCAGCACGGACAGTACGCCTTTTGCTGCAATGCAGCGCCGCATTTTGCTGAAGCTGCGAGCCCTTGGCGTCGCAGCAGACCACGAAGGAGGCAGCACACTGTGCCAACGCACGCTGCAGTAGCAGCATGTACAGCAGCTACAGCAGCAGCCCCAGAGAAGTGTACAGCGTTGCTAAGTGCTGGTCTTGCCTATGCTGTCTGCTAGCAACAAAGAACTCCTTCCGTGAGATATTTTTATTGAGAGCCAATGCTTCTACCTTACTACGATTGAGCTTTGATGCTGCTGCTCGTGCTACACTGTTCTGGTACTGCCGTCCCGTTGTATCCATGCACCAGCCTGCGCGAGTCTGCTGCAGCACCAGCAGTACAAGTAGCAGCAGCCCGAATGGACTCCAGCCTGCGCCCTGGTGTTTCCCAGCAGCTGTTCGACGATTGGAGCTAGAGCAGTGTACATCTAGCTCGCCGAATAGTTGTTTTTCAGTGGCGGGATTCTAGCAAGCTGGCCTATCTGGGCAAACTAGCAATCAACTTTAGCAGTTGGCTATCCAGTTAGGCACGGCGGAACCTGAAGAAGCAGGCATCCCGTTAGCTCGCGTGACAACAAGTTGGTTAGCTAGTCACCCTAGTAGCGTAGTACCTAGCTACCTGACGCTGAGTGACCGCTTGGCTCGCTTGCTAGCTAATACTCTAGCTGGCAGCTGGTCCACCCCCTGGCTGCTCGCGTTCCTCTTTTGGTGCAGCAGCAAAGCACGCGACTGTGGGGAGTGGCAGCGGCAGCTGCTGCATTATCAGCAAGACCGACAGTTGCACCAGCATAACGAGTGGAGGTCTATTATTTTGTTGGCGTTTGCAGTTTCGAACGAACAAATAAAATTTTCTGAAGCCAGACGCCGATGGCAATGAGCTGCAGGGTCTAAACATCAGCGCTAGCGATCCCTACTGCTGCTGCTCCGAGTGCCTGCTGTTGCCTTTGTGCTGCTCATTTGCGGTCCAGCAGCTCAGCTAGCAGTAGCCCCGCTGCTATGCCCCCTGTAGCTGCCAGCACTCCGCCAGCAGCAGCAGCAGCAGCACCGGACTGCCTGCTGGCTTCAGGCCTCCGCACCTTCCGCACCCGCCTGCCCAAGTACTTGTTGCTGTTTGGAATTGGGGTCGTCAGACTGAGCAGCAGCAGCAACAACAAACAGCAGCAGCAGAAGCTCCCCAACACCAGCAAAAGCAGTGCGGGCAGCAGCAATGCACAAGACAGCAGCCGCACCACACAGGCAAAAGCAACACCAGCACCTGTAACGTTCAATTTGCACAGCATCAACAGCAGCAGCAGCAACAGGAATGGGAGCAGCAGTTGCAGCAGCAAGATTTCCCACCTGAAGGGTCTGTTGAATTCAAATCGCTGAGACGAAGACAGCTGAGGCCGCTGTGAGAGACCCCTTTGCTTCATACTCGCTGTCAGAGCCTGAAATAGCAGCAGCAGCAGCAGCCAGGCAAAATGTGCACAACTCAGTAAGACCCCTATGAAAGCAGCAACAAGAGTAGCCGCAAGAGCAGTAGCAACGGAAACAGTCCTTGTTTGAAAACTGCTGCTAGTAGTCTGCTTTTGCTTGGTTTCCTCTCCAGCCAGACAATGCATGAACGAGAGCACTGCATTTAGTTCCAACACCTTCAAACCCCCAACAACGACCTTAAAACTTTAAACCTAAACCGTATGCCGCGACCCAAAGCCCCTAAACCCTGAATCCAACAAAACCCTAGGGCCTAAACCCGAATCTGCTAGCCCGAAACAACCCTAGCATACCTCCATGAGAGACGGGTACGAGTGAGAGAAAGGCATCTGTGTTAGCACAGAGACGAAGGCAGTAGTCATGGCGCCTCCTGCTGCTGTGTGCAGCCCATCACCGCGAAGGTCTGCTGCAGTCTGGCTGTCGGTGCAGCTGCAGACAGAACACAAACAGACAAGAGACGTCGGACAACAAATCCGTCCTCACGCAACAGTCGTATGTGGGGGAAAAAAGCAGACGCACACGAAGCGACTTGAGCAAACGAGAACAAACTGTCGCAAATGCTCAGCCCTTAAGAAACACCAGCATAGAAATACAACAGCAACCAACAGAAACGCCCTTGGCTACGCAGCACAGACAAGTGGCCAGGCTACGCAGCACAGGCCAATGGGCCAAAAGTCTAACAAACAGACGATGGGTTCGTGAACACAGGCAATGGATGGGTTCGTGAACACAGGCAACAAACAAGAAAGGACACAAACAAGGCGAAAGGGAGTAAACGGGGATAGAGGCAAAACAAGACGGAGAGAGGACGTAGAGAGAAAGCAGCTTTGCCAAGAAAGGAACAAACTAACCAAATTACAAACAGCTTAACAGTATCATGATGAACAGACGCAGCATTACCATCATCGTCAGCAGCAGAAATAATCACCAAACATCCTCAATCCTCAACTATCTTCATCATCATCAGCAGCGGCATGATTGAATTACCAACATTATCATCACCACCTCATCATCATGAAGCCGTCAACTTTGACGGCCACCAATCATCACTCATCATAATCACCATCATATACTTCATCCGTTCATCATCTGCAACCTCAACCAACCATCAGTCCTCGCCACAATCACTGCAACCTCATCAGGATCATTGTGATTAGGATCATAAGCCAAGTATCGGGTGCGTACCTGCTAAAGAGTTGGGCGTCCCCGAGTACGTAGAATGGGTTTGTTTCTTCTTCCCAGCAGCAGCTTTGCTGACGCCAAATAAAAGGCAAATCCAAGCAAGAGCCCGAGTGGCACGCGTCGATGACAGCAGTCAGACGGCAGGCAGAAGGTAGCGGCTGTACGAGCAGCGCATGCAGCTGCGTAAACACAAAACGCCGAAAGCCATCTAAACACATTCTCAACACGTGATAGAAACGTCATAAGACAGCTAGAGACCCCGTGAGAGGCTGTTTGTAAAGAGGGTCACAACAAGAGCTCATTGTCAATAAACTGCTAGCCAACACGAACGTTAACTGTGCAGGCTAGGAACTCGCTTTTCTTTGGCACATTCAGTAGAGAAACAACATGATCAAAAGGGGAATACCATCGTAAGATTTCCGTCAAAACATGATCAGCAGATAATGATAATCAGTATCAGATGAAAGACAAGAATCAAAGAGCAGAGGAGCACTAAACAGAAGCGCAACAGATATAAGGCAGCTCCAAGATGCTTAAAAGATAGGACTTATCAGATAACATGCTAAAATGGACCCCAAAAAAAATGCCTAGAAACAAAGACCATGGGCTACCCAAAAGAAGGCAGATAACTGAAGAAGCGGAGAGAAGAGAAATAAAACAAGACCTATTAGAGGGTTACCACACAGTATTGAGTCCGGAAGGTCAGTAATTCTAAATATATAACGATCAAATAAAGACCGTCAGGGGAATTTATCTGAAGAGGAATTTCTATATAGATATCGTGTCTACAGGAAACGAGAGGGGAACGCATGTATCTATGCGTAGATGTTCTGTCTAAAAACTCATAAAAGCAAACTTTGGAATAATAAGCGGGCGACAATATATATATTGTTTATATATTGAACTCGAACACGAGAAAATCTTATCACCTCATCATCAACGATTTCTCCTGCATGCCGAAAATCCAGAGGCAAAATCGTTTCATCGAAGCCATCTGCTTCTAGACCTGTGGAATCTGCCTGCTGGGATCCATGGCCGGAAAAATGGAAAAATAAACTGTCTCCAGGCTGACACCCAGCCGTTAGCCACTGCATCGCCTGCGGGCAGCAGCAGCAACAAAAGCAACAGCAGCACCCGTAGTAGGTGCCGCAACAGTAGGTGCCGCAGCATTAGGAACTGAACAACTGTTATCCGCAAAGCAGCAGCAACAGCAGCATATCGTTCTGCTGCTGCTGCTTATGCACAATAAAGCCGATGCATTTCCAGCATCAGCAACAACTGGAACAGCAGGTGCAGCGCAGCAAGCAGCAATAGCGGCATCAGCAAAAACAACAGCAGCTGCACCACCAGCATAGCCCAAACCACAAATCACCCCAACAACAACAGCAACGGCTGAATCAGTAGGAGCAGCAGCTAACAGCGAGCATGTTTTGTTTTGTCGGTCTGTAGAGGGGGTCTGTCGCTTCATCAGTCATCAACACCATCTCTGTAGGGCCGCTTCCGAAGCCGTACAGGCCCCGCAGCAGCTGTTGCATGCGCTTTGCATCATTTACACATCCCCTCAGCTCCGCCTCCGTTCCAAAATAATTAATGCCGATCAGCAACGCTTTTCGTCGGCCTGTAATCCAGCAGCAGCAGCAAAGCCAGCAGATACAAGAGCGCACATAGGAAAAAAGCAACTAAACCATCATCCTCCACTCGATGGCAAGCCCACATGACACTACCAAATTAAATGCGGATGCACAGCATCACAGCTGCAGAAGCACAACTGGGACAGCTTCGGGGATTTTTGCCCGTACCCGGATGGGGGGGAAAGTACGAAGGCTGGTGCAAGGCAGAAGCTGGCAGCAGTGCCTGCTGGTGCTCTTGCTGCTGATGGTGCTGTTGCTGCTGTGGAGGCAGAGGGCCCATGGGCTCTCCTTGAGGATATGGGAACGCATGCAGCTGAGGCGGCGGAATGGCAGCTGTATAAGGAGGCGCAGCAGCAGCAGGGGATGCTGCTGCTGCTGCTGCTGCCCCTGACGCAGCCTCCTGTTGCTGTTGCTGCACTTCCAGCGGGTGACTTGCTGCAGCCGCATCAACTGCCTGCCGCAGCAGCAAATCTACAGCCTTCTCTCGGTCTCCATTGCTCTGAGTTAAGGCGCTGCAGCAATAGAAACGCCAGAAGCAGCAACAGCAACAGCAACAGCGGGCATGTGCGGCAAAATGGTGTGGCAAACGGGTGTTTGGTGTTATTTCTCTTGCTAGTTATTTGCTAGTTTAATTATCTGCCAGCTGCTGGTTTTTGCTGTTTTCGCTTTGTCCGCTTCCTCCTCGTAGTTTAAGCATTTCACTGCACAACCAGTTAATTGTCTTATTGTTTAATTGTTCAAGCAGTTGTCTACTTTGTCGCCTCCTCACTCCTTTATCTGTTCCTCCGTAGCACTCGACAGAACCGAACGGATGTACGCCACATCTGCCTCCACCTGTGAAGCTGCATTCCAATTGTTGTTGTTGCTGCTACTGGAGACCTGCTGCTGCTGCCCTTCAACATAGTACTGCTCGTGCAATAATAGCTGTGGCAATTGATGGTCTGTTCCGCGCGGCTGCTGTGGCTGCTGCGGCTGTTGCTGCTGCTGATACTGCGAAGGTGGTACATATGTGGACTGTTGCTGCACGTACTGGGGTTGCTGCTGCGGCGGCGCGTAGTACGGCTGTTGCTGCTGCATGTAATAGGGCTGGTGTTGCTGCATTACAGGCTGAGGCGGTAGGTACGCGCAGTGCTGCTGTTGTTGGGGATAGTAGGGCTGCTGCTGCTGCTGAGGACAGTACGGTTGTGGGTGCTGCTGAGGGCAGTACGGTTGTGGGTGCTGCTGCTGCACCATTTGCTGCTGCATGTGTTGCGTCACGAAGGGGTACCCACCATGCTGCTGCTGCTGCATGTCTTGGAGCGCTAGTTGTTGCTCATGTCTCTGCTGTTCCTGCCGTTGCCACTGAATCTGCTGTTGTTGCTGCAGCTGCTGCTGCAGCTGCTGCTGGTGTGCTGCCACATCGAAGCGGCGCAGCTGCAGTCGCAGCTGCAGCGAAGCAGCAGCACCGAGTGCTTGTAAAGGGACCGTTAGTTCTTGAGGGTTCTGCAGAAGAACAAACAAAACACAGACCAAAAGACGAATCAACAAGCTGTGTCCCTGGTGGAGTCGCCACAGCAGCCGGTGCTGCAGTAGTTGCTGCAGCACCTGCTGCAGCAGGGGCAGCTGCTACTGCAATGGCAGATGTGGCACATGAATGCATTAAATGATTTGGCGCAAATATGCCTGAGGCCAATATCGTAGCAGAGGAAACGAGCAATCAGAACACTCTCCGCCTCTCCGCCCCGATTTATACATGCGGGCGCCGCACGTATACAAACATGTACACGCATACATAAATATACACATATTTAAATATAAGTAAATGCAGATGGGTCCATGCATGCCACACATAAACGGGAACCTATGTATAGTATATTCATAATATGCAGTGGGAACTCCTATGGTATCCGTCTTTATACATGCATACTGTTTCTGAGCATATACCAAAGTGCGTGAACATATGAGGAGGTGTTTAAATAGGTGTAATAATGCAGCTATTCAATTACTGAAACTGATAGTGCATGAATTCGTTTGTGAAGGCTGCGGCGAGGGCTTGGCGACCTGCTGTTCTGTCGTCGGTAAGGTTATTTCTATTTGCGTGACTTCTTTCTTCTTCAACAAGCTGCTTCTCCACAGGCGCAGCACAAGCCGACTGCCATCAGTAGCAGCATCATAGGGCAACAGGAACTCCGCCTGCGGTTGGTGGTGCTGCTGCGGTTGCAGGTGCGGGGACGGGCGCAGCGGAGGACTTTTCTGCTTATCCCCCCTCCAGAGGAACTTCACGTACAGCGTCTGCGCTGCTGACACACCCCAAATTCCAACGATATCCAGCCGCAGCCGCAGAGGGCCATCCATCTCCCCAGCTAAATCCTATGGCATACGCCCTACACCCGAAGGCCAAAACCCAAAGTCCTTGGGTCGTCCGAAAACTGGCGGAGTTCTTGGATGTATGCTGATGGCATTATAAGCGCATGTGCTGTCGCCTGCTAATTAGGTGTAAACACACCGGAACCTTCCCTACTACACACAAATCTACTTGCTGCAGGTGTTTCTGAGTCGGCTGTACACATGCAGACGGGCTCATTCAGCTGTGGTTTAGACAGCAAATTGATCATTTCTAATTAAGAGGGGAATATAAGTGCAGAGGAAAGCATCTCCTATGTCCGCAGCCGGGGTCTTTCGCCCGTTGTAGCAGCAGGATGGCTGTTTTGATTTCACCCCTTTCCTTCGTGAAATAAATGAGGAGTATGCAAGCATTTACTGGTGTATACACAGCAAATAAAGAGTCTCGTTTATTTATAGCTACTTTTTCAATGTGACTATGAGCCATACTGTGTTCCAGCGGTCTACCACTGCTGCCGCTGCTGCTGCTGCTCCTGCTGCTGCTCCTGCTGCTGCCTTTGCATGCATTGGCCTAAGCCCCGAGCCCCGCGTGGCCGTGCAGTTCGTCGTCGTTGTGTTGCTGAGCAAACGCAGCTGCGATTTATGTTTGGATTCTTATCTTACTTTGTTTCTTCTTCTTATTATTATTAGGGCCCTCTGGCGGAGCATGTGGTGCCGCGCGGCCGCAGCCCTGTCGCCCGTCCATTGCCTTGCGGGAGTTTCTTGTCTTCTTTAGCTTTGTTATTTTGAGGAGGCGTTCAGAAAACTCTGAAATAAATGAAGAAATAAACAGCAAATAGAACCCCTTTGCGCCGCCTGGGGCCTCGTCCTTTTCTGCTGCGCCCTTCCCCCTTTCGCCTGCACGTGAATTTTTGAACGAACGCACCATGACAGTCGTTCCGCCCCCTCCAACCCCCTACGGCAGCAGCAACAGCCGCCAGCAGCAGCAGCAGAATGGGGTTCATCCCTCCCCACGGCAGGGGCTGGCTGGCCGCAAGGCTGCCCCCCCTAGCGCCTCTCTCACTTTTTCAGAGCTGCAAAACCATCAGCTGGTGAAGCTGGCAAGACGCACTTGGCTGCAGCAACAGGAGCAGCAGCAGATTGTACATGTGGACGCCGGCCCCCACCTTGTGGCTGCTGCAGCGGAAAAGGAAAAAGCAGCAAGAGCGGCAAAAGCTAAAGCCCAAGATGCCCATGAGGCCCTCAAAGCCCTCAAAGCCAAAGAACCCGACCAGCAACAACAGAAGGAGTTGCAACGACAGCAGCAGGCCGTGGCTGTGGCGGAGAAGCGTGCTGCTGCTGCTGCTGCTGCTGCTGCTGCTGCAGCATCAGCAAAGCGGTCGTGGGAATCACGCGAGGAAGCGAGACGCACCCGAGGCATTAGCGGCAGCAGCAGCAGCAGCAGCAAGACACCAGCGCTGATAGCTGATGTGTATAGACAGCTGCGGCGGGGGGGATTCTCTGGAGCTGCCCTGCAGGCACTAGAACATACGCATTACCTCGAGGCACTCCTGTGGCCGTCGTTCAACAGCAGACCAGCAGCTGCTGCAGCAGACGGGTCTGGACCAGGAGCAACAAAGGCAGATGCAGCAGAAGAAGCATCATTGGGGGCAGGAACCACTCAGCCTGCTCACTTGCTGAGTATATGCGCTTTGCTTGTGAGTTCGGGTGCGAGGGGGGGAGAGATGTTGCTGCCGCTTCAGCGCCAACCTAGACAGCTGCGTGCTCTGCTGCAACTCGAAGCCCCGAGGGCTCTCTCACAGCAGGAGGAGGAGCAGCAGCAGCAGCATCAGCAGGAAGAGGACGACGATCTGCCTGCTGAATTCCTCGATGCCAAGGTGAAGGTCCTCTTCTATAGGCTCTCCATGCTCCTCGCAACCTCTCAGCTACCAAACAAGCAACAGCGACAAGAACAACAGCAGCAGTCGCAGGGTGAAGGTGACACGGAGAACGAGGACAGCGCGGTTATCGAGGCGCCAAATGGCGGCAGCAGCAACAACAGCAGCGGGAAACCGGTGTATGGGAGCGACAGTCGGAGACAACCTCCTTTGGGGGACTGTGTGGTGGTCTTGTCTGCTGAGGAGCAGCAGCTGCTGCTGACGTTCTTTGTGCGTGCCTTTCAAGGCCTAGAAAATGGTCTGTTGCGGCGGCTTTGTCTTGCCGTCTGTGGCCCCTGCTGCTTCGCGAGGCTGCCCAAGTCTGCGCTGCAGCAGCTTCTGCAACGCAGCGCTGCAGCAGCGCTGCTGTGGAAGCGTGCGCAGAAACGACTTATGCCGCTGCACCAGGCAGCAGCTGCTGCTGCGGCTGGTGGCTCCGCTGCAGAGATTGTGGAGCCCGAGCAGCGGGAGCAGCTGCAGCAGATAATGCTAGATCGAGATTTTATGTTCGTCCTCATGAGAAAATTTGTTATCCTAGCTGGTAAGCTGCAGCAGCAGCAGTTGCAGTAGTAGTGGCAGGGTTAGCTAGAGAGCTCCCATTTCATTCATGGGGAATGTTAGGGGAGTAGCTAATAGGTAGCAACAACAGCAACGACAGCAGCAGCAGTAGCAGCAGCAGCCAGTTGCATGCGTTTGCGTGCTTCGCAGAGGACGAATGCGGGGCTTATGGGCGCAATGAGGTTCCGCTGTCTCTAGTTTTATTGTTAGAGAGGATGCTGGAGCTGTTTGTTGATCTCCTGGCGCAACTTCCAACACGCCGCTGTTTGCTGCCGCTGCTACAACAGCAGCAGCTGGCCGTCCGGGCCGAGCGCAGCGCAGCAGCGGCAGCAACAGAGGCAGGGGTGCTGAGGCAGCTGCTGCAGCAACTTTTCTTCTACGAGCGCTTCGAGATTGATGATGACACAGGTTCGTTTACTGTTGCTGTGTGTGCTGCTGGCAGTGGAGGGGCACTTGTGTGCCTTTCACATGTATTTCTACTTTTTGGATGTACAGTTTCCATATTGCATTCTTTGGTTGGTTTGTTGTTTTTTGCTATTTGTATTTGCCGTTTCGCTTCTCCCTGCTGGTGTGTAGGCCGTCCGCTTGGGGCTACCGCCTGTACAGCCCGCCACTACGATCGGGTTGAGGCCTTTCAGCGGCGCTGCTTCGAGCTGGGAGGAGGAGGAGCAGTAGCAGCAGCAACAACGCCTGCAGCAAATGCTGCTCTTGCAGACGCAGCGCTGCAGCCAATATCGTCCATCGATGATTGGCGGCGGCTGCAGCAGCTGCTGCAGCAGCAAGAGCTGCTCACGCTGCTCGACTTGTGCGTACACCTCCACCTGTTGGACCCTCTGCAGCTGCCCGGTGTTGCGGAGCCGCCGGCTGAGGCAGCAGCAGCAGCGGCAGCAGCAGCAGCCGCGGGCGCGCGACAGCTCGCAGCAGCTGCTGCAGACAGCCGCAAACGCAGCAAGAATTGGGTGCGTGAGCACCTCGTTGCAGTGCTAGTTAGGGCACTCCAGAGAGAGGCAGATCAGCTCCAGCAGATCAACAGTCAGCCAATCTACCCAGATGAACTCGAACTGTGGAATGAAGTGGTGCTGCCGCCGCAGCAGCAGCAGCAACAGCAACTGCAGCAGCAGTCCCTCGCCCTCCCCAAACTCAATCTCCAATTCTTGACAGTCCACGACTACTTGCTCCGGAACTTCCGCCTCTTCAGGTGAAGCTGCTCTTGCTGTTGCTGTAGCTTTAGCTGTACATATTACTGCTTCGGCTGTTGCTGCTGTTGCATGAGGGGCTGGTAGCAGTAGTTGTGCTGCCTGAGTCGTTGGACGAAGATTTTCTGCGTTTAAGCAGCTGCAGCATAAGGGGAGCAGGTTGTCGACTCATTTATTTTCATGTATCCATATATCTGTGAAAACCAGACAAATGTGTGGAGGAGGGGTTGTGAGACTATCCAGATACGCACAGGAAGCGCGGGTGTGTTGCCGTCTGCTCTTGGGTGTGCGTGCAGGTTGGAGTCAATCTACGAAATAAAAGAAGAAATAGAAGACGCCCTTTGGCGCCTCAGACCCAAGAGAAAGCTTTCAACAAATGCGGTTGCTTCTGCTTATCCAGCAGGAGCAGGGGAGGAGGACCTGCTGCTGCAGCAGCCCGAAGCAGCAGAGTACTTGGGAGGAGAAACCGTCTTCGAAGGCTCCTGCAGAATGGCACTCAAACTTGAACGGTTTACAGTCGTATCCGTGGAACCTCCTAAGGTCCTGCTGCTGTTGCTGCTGCTGCGGTTGCTGTCGCTGCTGGTGTTTCGGGGATAACTGTTGATCAGGTGCCGCCCGCAGTTGGCTTTTCTTTGTGGTGTGGTGGGGAGTGTGGCTGGGGTTCGCGGTTCGTGGAGGGATGTGGCATGCTGATTCGGACTTGTTCTCCGTGTTTTTGTTGCATTCAGGTAGGAGAGCAGTTTCCTGCTGCAGTGCACGCAGAGCTGGTGTACGACTTGGGAGGCTGCGCCTCCCAAGTGCGAAGCGAATGGGATGCGCTGGGCAAGCATGACGTCGTCTTCTGCTTGTCAGTCGCGCCTCCGCTGCAGCCGCTGCAGCAACACCCTGAAGGGCTGCCTGCGGCAACAGTGCGCGAAGGCTTCGGAATCATGGCTGTCAGGGGTGCGGAAGTGGTGGAAGTCCTTGACCAAGAAGGCGTGTGCATCTCCGAACCAAATCCTCTCAATCGTCAGTCATGCGCAGCAGCAGCAGCAATACCTGTAGCAGTAGCAGCAGCACTTTGACACTCTCCACTAGCAAGCGCCTGGCGGGGCTTTCAGTAGCAGGGGCAGAAACAGGAACACTTCTTGTCATCCGTTCCGTAGAGCCAACAGCAGCAACAACAAACTCAACATTGTTGTGATAAGCAAATGTGTGTGCGTGGGTGACTTGAGGTGAATGGCTTTCCACGTTGGTTGAATTTGTTGGTCGGGTTTCCTTGCGTTGAGAGTATGCTGTTTATGAATCGTTTTGTTTTTTTTGCTTAGTTTGATGCTTGTTTTGCTATTAGTTAGTTGGCCAGTTAGTTAGTTATTTAGTTAGTTGGTCGGCCACTTAGTCTTGAACGCATTTGTTTGAAGCGGATTTATATCTCCTGTGATGGTTTCTTTTGCCTAACCCCTTGCGTGCATTCATGCGATTGTTTTCGCGCCTTTGCATTATCTGTTCTCTTTCTGCAGCTCACAAGCCCGTGGGGACGTCGCGGACGATGCGGGTCTTGCTGGACAGCTGCGCATACACCCGAGACTTGCAAGACTTGAAGGAGGGCGGGGTGTCTGCACTGCATGCACAGATGAACGTGTTGCTGCGTCGCAGTGCTCGTCAGAACAACTTCAAAGGCGTGCTGGAAACGATTCGTTGTCTGATGAACAACACCGAGGACTTGTTAGTCCCTCCGTGGCTGCAAGACATCTTCCTGGGCTACGGCGAACCCTCGGGCTGTCTGTATACCCGGCTTGACAGTCGCCTACCGTTGCTCGACCTTCGCGACACCTTCCTAGACTTGCAGCACATCAAGGAATCATTTCCCTTCGCTGCCAGCCTCCAGCTGCCTCCTGAACAAGTTGAACCCGCCAAACCCCCCTACTACAAACTCGAATTTACACTCCCAAACGGCAGCAACAAACCCTCGTCAACTTCCGATGCTGCAGACCCTGCTGCTGCTGCTGTGGGGATCGACCCGCTTGATGCCACGCGGTCTCATATTGCGGTGTCGCGCTACACCTTGTCGAGCTATGGGCCGTACAAGGAATGTGAACGCAAGAGAAACAAAATTAGGTAAAATAACAAAGCATTCAGTAACAGGTCAATTCGGCGGATTCTGTTGCTGCTGATATCGCTTGTGCTGGAGCTGACCCTGCTGGTGCTCCTGCCGTATGTGTGTTTCTGCGCTGCCTCCCTCCAAACGTTCATGCTGACCCATCGGGCGGCTACAGCAACGGTGTCACTGTCATGAGTAGCGCCACAGCTATTCTTATCATTATCACTATCATCAGCGCTAGAAGCCGATGTACACTACAAGCAGTTCCACAGCCTCCTGCAGCATTTTTAGCATTATTACACAGTGCACTCGTTGACCTTCAATGATTTGCGTGTCCACTTTTTTGTTTTGTTCGTCCTTCGTTTTGCTTGTTTGCTTTATTTATATTGTTCTTTGTCGATTACGTTTGCCTTTGCTGTGATGCTCTCTGCGCTTTTCCTCGTTCTGTTTGTTTCTTGCGTGTGTATGGCTCTTTGTCGATGCAATCTGTGTATTCATGCAGTGGGTTTTGTGTTAATTCGTTGTGTCTATTTCTTTAGTCTGCCTGTTGATTTCATACTTCCCTTGTCAACTGCGTTGTATTTCTGCAGATTTACCCCCGCCCAAGTGCGCGCGCTGGTTTCGGGGCTGCAGCCGGGGTTGACTCTGATTTTGGGACCACCAGGGAGTGGCAAGACTGACACAGCAGCGCAGCTGGCGAGTTTGTTGTACCATGCAAACCCCAACGAAAGAACAGTGCTGGTTGCGCATTCCAATGCAGCGCTTAACGACCTCTTCAGGAAGGTAGCTGCCCTGGATGTCGACGAGACGCGCCTTCTTCGGCTTGGTAGGGGCTCGGCGGACCTCCAGCAGCAGCAACGCACACTCTGGCAGCAGCAGCAGCAGCAACGCGACGACCTGCTTCTGCCCCTAGAAGGCTGCGACGACGTCGAAGACTTTTCCTTCTCGAAGCACGGCAGAGTCAATAAGGTGCTCGAGAGAAGAAGGCATCTGCTGCAACAGGTTGCAAAACTCGGCGAATGCATTGAGGGGGAACTTGCTGCTGCTGCAGCGGCAGCTGCGGCTGCTGCTGCTGCTGGTAACAGCAAAAGCTCAGCACCTCCTGTTTCTGTATCTGTGGGAGACGTCAGCTCCAGCTGTGAAGCAGCACTGCAGTTCTTCCGCTACCACATTGAGTTCAGAAAGGAAAGATACACAGCAGTACTAGACAATATCAGGCGGCTGCAGCAGCAGCAAGAACAGCAGCAAGATGCAGTACGCAAGAAGGTGGAGGCAGCAATCGAACGGTACGAACAAGAAAGAGGTAGCAGAATACTCATTATGCTCCCAATCAGCCTCAAAAAGCCAAGCCCAGGAATCCAACAGGAACAGCAGCAGCAGCAGGGTGAACAAGGGGGCAAGCGTCTAACCGCAGCACCTGCGGGGAACAGCCGTAAGAAACGCAGGCAACAAAACCAGGCGGAAGTGGGGAATGAGCAGCAATCGGCCGATCAGCAGAATGAGGAACAAGAAGAGGAAGAGGAAGAGGAGCATCAGCAACAGCAGCTGGAGAGTGAAGCAGAAACGCAGGAGTTTGGCGAGAAGTCTTCAGTACCAGAAGCTCTTTTTGCTGTTGATGTAGCGGTGAGATGTTGCTGCTTATCTTGTTAGCTTGTTGTCTTTTCGCCGCACCTGCTTTTATGTTGCTTCTCTTCTGCTTTTGTGATTCAAACAATGTGGGTTTGCCTCAAACGGCCTTTCTCTGGGTCTGTTGCCTACCTTCTTCTCGCCCGCATTCAACGGCTGCTGCCTACGTAATCTACTCTGCTGTGGCTGCTCCTGTAGTCTTCTGCAGCTGCTGCTTCTGGCTGGTTCTGGGGTAGCCGGTGCTGTTGCCGCATCTGTGCCAATTTCGTTGTTGTTACAGCTGCCAGTCGGGTTGTTGCTGCTGCCGTTAATCCGACTGTTGTTGCTGCAGTTGCAATTGCTTCCGTTGCTGCTGCTGATCGCGCTGTTCGTGTTGCTGGTTTGGTTGCCGCTCACTGTCCTGCCGCTGCTGACTGTCATGCTGGGGTGCTGCTGCAGACAGCACACTACGAGTACGGGAAGAGTTTCGAGGAGTTACTGTTCCCGTTCACCTCCTTCTTCAGCGACGCACCGCAGCCGCTCTTTCCAGGAGAAGCAGCAGCAGACGCAGCAGTTGCGGAGAGTTGCTTCCGGTACATGGACCAGATGCAGCAGCAGCTCCAGGACTACAGGGCATTCGAACTTCTCAGAACTGCTGGAGACAGAGCAGACTTCCTTTTGACGTAAATGTTCCCTGCTGCTGTTGCTGCTGCTGCTGCTCTTAGTGTACCGAGCTGGTTTTGCTGCTGCTAGTTGTGCGTGTGCTAGTTTGTTGCTGCTAGTTTTGTTGCTGCTGTAAGTACTGCTTTAGTCCGTGCTGGTAGTCTATGCTGCTCCGTCATGTGCTGCTGTGGTTCGGTTTCTGCTTGATGTGCTTCTGCTGTTTGTGGTACTGTTCCTTGCGCTTCTGCTATTTCTATTGCTGCTGCTGCAGGACCCATGCGCGGATGGTGGCGATGACGTGCACGCATGCGGCGATAACGCGGGAGCGTTTGGTGGAGTTGAATTTTACTTTTGACTCGTTGATTATTGAAGAAGCCGCTCAAATTCTGGAAGTTGAGACCTTCATCCCGATGCTGCTGCAGAAAGCAGCCGATAAAGCCACGCGATTGAAACGCGTCGTGCTGCTGGGGGACCACCACCAGCTTCCCCCCATTGTCAAACACATGGTGTGACTCTGTTAAAATTAATATGCGTTGCATGGCTTTATACTTTACGTGTGCTGGTTCTGCTGTTGCAATAGCCACTACACACAGAAGGATGTACTTTATATTGTTACAGTACTAATTAATGTACTTTGCCCACAGCAGAGTCTATCCCTATCACATTCCTCCCGCATGTATACGATCTCAATAAGAATGGTTGATGCTTGCTCTTCCATATATATTGCTGTTGTTAGTTTGCCCATGTGTGGATGTTATTTTGTGTTTGTTTATTTTTGTTTGTTTGTATTACAATGTCGTCGTTGGTTTTAGCTTTTGGATGTTTGTTCCTGGTGCATGCGGATAATTGTTTGTGTTTTTTTGCATATTTTTCTGTGGTTATCGTCAGAGTCTGCAACGCTTCTCTCACCTGGACCAGTCACTGTACGAGCGCTTTGTGCGCCTGGGGGTTCCTTGCATAACTCTGGATGGGCAGGGTCGAGCGCGTCCTGCGTTGGGGCGTCTGTACAGCTGGAAATATCCTTCTTTGAAGGACTTGCCGGTGGTGCAGAATAGTGCTATCTTCCGAGCACCCAACCCTGGACTGTCATTTGTCTGTCAGTTCATTGACGTGCCTCCTTACAAAGGACGAGGAGAGAGTTGCCCTCTACCACACTTTTATCAGAACTTGGGAGAGGCAGAGTACCTTGTAGCGCTGTACATACATCTCAGACTCCTCGGATACCCCCGCGAGCGCCTCGTCGTCCTCACCACTTATAACGGCCAGCTCGCTCTTCTTCAAGACGTGCTGCAGCAGAAATGCGCCTGGAATCCCGTCATCGGACTCCCACGGGCTGTTAGCACAGTGGACAAGTTCCAGGGACAGCAGGGGGACTGTGCGTTCTCTCCTCCCCTTCTGCTCTTTCTGACTCTCTCCCGCCACTTTTGCCTGTCTCCGTCGCTTTTGCCTTTTACTTGTCCCTCTGCTTCTCATTGCTCTCCCCACATTCCCTCCTCCTTTTCGTTTTCTTTTTCGTTGTAATTTAATCTGTCTTCCTCCTTTTCCGTTTGTTTCTTGTGTTGGTTTATCTGTCTGTCTTAATTCTGTATCTGCTTGTCTCTCGTATTTTTTCGGTGTGCTGTCAAGTTTTTCCAATATGTCCCCGTTGTCAATTGCATTCGCTGCCTTTCGTTTGCCTTTGATCGTTTACTTTTCTTTGGCCCTCTGTGGGTGTGAGTGGGGGTTGGTGGGTGGGTGGTTTGGTGTGTGTGTGTGTGTGTGTGTGTGTGTGTGTGTGTGTATGTTTATGTGTATGTGTATGTGTATGTGTGTGGGATGGTTTGTGGGTGTGCTCTTCTTTTCGTGAGTGAGGAGGGACTGTTTGTGTCTGTTTGCTCTGGTTTTGCATTCATGTCTTCTATGCTCTTTTACCTGTCATCATTTCTTTCTTTCTTTCCCCCTGCAGATGTTCTTTTGTCTCTCGTACGCACAAATCGCGTCGGCCATCTACGAGACGTCCGCCGCCTCATCGTCGCCGTCAGCAGAGCCAGACTCGGTTTGTCCCTTGTTCCATCTCGCTCTGACTCTTCTCGCCTCTTTTTCCGTTAATCTCCTCCTGCTTCTCCCCCTTTTTCTTTTTGTCCCCCTTTTGACCCTTATTTTTCTCCTATTTCGTCATCTCTTGTTTGTTCATCTTCTTGGTTTTCCTCAGCCTGATGCCTCTCTGTATTTGGTTGTCCCTCTGTGAATTGTGTTGCTTCTGTGATTCGTTCTCCGAATCCTGGTGTATCGGTGTCCTTTTCTGTGTGTGTCTGTACTTCTTCTTGCCTGCATTTGTCTCTTGGCTCCATTCTGCACTTGCCTTTCTTCATTTCATTTCGCATTTGCTTGTGTCATTGTTGTTTCCTCCTCCATCAATTTGTGGTTCCGGTTGTCTCTGTACTTGTTTGGGTCAGCTGTTGTGTATAGGCATGTGTTTGTTTCTGTTTCCCGGGGTATTTTTGTGTTTTATTGGTTGTAGTTTGTTTGTTTGCATGCGTGTGTCTGTGCGGTGGCTTCAGGTTTATACGTCTTCGGCTGCTGGCCGCTGTTCAGCAACTGTGTTGAGCTGCTGCCTGTCTTCCGTCGGTTTGCTCAACAGCCACTGCAGTTGTCGCTGCATTTGGAAGAGACCGACTTTAGAGAGACTCTCCGACTTCACACGGAGGCATTTGACAATCAAAAGCAGGTCAGATTACGTCGCATACCCATTTGTTCATACGTGGTAAATGGCCTTACCTAGGCACTGCATCTCGTCAGTTCTGTACCTTCCATGCTCGTCTATTCATTTACTTATTTTCCTCATAGGTTTTCGGCATTATGCATATTCACTTGCATGTTTGTAGTATCATTAGTCAACTGCGCTGCCTTATCAGTTCACTATACTTTTATGCACTATCTATTGAAATGTCGCGCTCTGGTTCTGCAGACTCATTAATCACTTATACCCATTTACTTTTTGTGCTTCTGGTGCTGGCTTTCACAGGGGTGCCTTGCGTGATTGTTTCTGTTGCTTTTTGCCGGTTTGTTGACTGCATTGGCTGCTGCTGGTGGTTTTGCTGCATGCTTTGCTGCTGCCTCTCTGTCTGCTGCTGCGTGCAGCCGCCACCTCGGGGTCCTGTTACATACATCAGTGGAGTGGACGAGATGCAGCAGTTAGTACAGCAGCATGCGGCGCGCCGAGTTGCTGCTTTGAAACAGCAGCTGCTGCAGCAACCGCAGCAGCCGCTGATCCGTCCGCAGCAGCTGGAAGCGGCGGCAGCAGCAGAAGCAGCTCGACTTGCTGCGCTAGAACCCGACAGTGAGCGCCGCCCGCTGCCTGGCTTGCAAGGATTCTTGGGGCCGCAGGGGCCTCAGCAACTCCCAGATGATAACAGCACTGCTGCTGCTGCATCGGCAACAAGTGTTGCTGTAAATGCTCCAGCAGCCCCAGCAGATGGATCTAGCGATGGGGGAGAAGGATGCGGAGAGGAAGAAGCAAAGCAAGGGAAGGACAGCGAGACAGAGGCAAGGACAGAAGCAGTACGAGAAGGGGACGCTGGCTCAGACACCCAACCACTGTCTAACTCAACAGACGAAGAGACTAAAGGGCACCCTCAAGAGTAGTGGAAGAGACTATATCTTGACGAAGAAACAGATATATGACGATACACGCGAATGCAAACGGATATGTAAAAAGCAGCCAACAAGGTTGCTGTTCCTGCAGCAGATCCTGTTGCTGCTGCTGCTGCATCAGCTGATGCGGCTATTTTGGAGAGGCACGAGGCTGCGAAGGAGACGCTTGCGGCGTATGTACAGCGTACGCGTTTCCATGAATGTGTTGTTGCTGTTGCTACATGCGTCTCCTCGTTTCTCTAAAACTTCTGTTTAAGGGAGATAACACATCACATTTGAAGAGCCATACTGGGACAAGAACAAGCACTTGCTGTTGTCGCAGGTAGAGAGAAACAACATTTTGTAGAAAGCTTTCAAGACAGCAAAATGCAGGAAGAGAGGCATTCTGAGCAGAAACAGAAAGGGGAAGGAAGCCTTGTCTGTAGTTGTTTGTTTGTCTTCGGACGACATCCACGTGTTTTGACCAAACGACTGTCTTTAGTTTTTGAAAATTGATGTATTGTTTTCTCTCCGCATATTCACTGTTTTGCCTTTGGCGACAGTTACACCGGCTGCTTCCCGTGCTGTGGAATTCCTTTACGGTTTTGTCATTCTGTTTGTCTCTAACTCTCTGCCGGCCCACAGACCATCTTTTGTTTTGCGTGTGCCTGTGTCAGAGCTATTCTCCTTTATGCTCCTTTGTTTCTGTGTCTGTGGCCCTTTCTGTTGTTCTCACTCATTCTCTCTGGCTCTTGTCCGTTGGCACCCATCTGATGTAAAATATTGAACAGTAACAAGCACAGGCTGCCGAAGAGAGTTGAGGTGTGTGCACACCCGAGCATCAGCATACACTGTTTCAACAACTCTGCATGGAGTATCCGTGCGTTCATCCGAAGGATATTCTACTTCTCAGTATTGCTGCTGCTTCTTCTTCTGGTGCAGCTGCTGCCGCAGTAGCTGCCGCTGTTGTTTTGCTGCTCTTGCAGTCGTTGTTGCACTTCCTGCCGTTGATGCTTCAGTGATACTGCTGTTGGCCTTGCTGCTGTTGTGGCTCTTGTTGCTGCTGCTGAACTTGCTGCTCTTAGCCGCACCTCCCTTCTTTAGGAATATCCGTACCTGCGGCAGCATCAACAGACACCATAACTGGACGTCCAGCATTCCCTTGTGCGCTTATACGCTATTGGTTGCTTTCTCTATGTTTAAATGTCTATACGTTTGTCTACGTGGGACCGCCATACCCAACAAACATTTTATTTGGCTTTCCTTCGGCAGCACATCGATGAAATCACCTGAACAAGGAACTAACAACAGAGTGTTCCTTAGACTGTAGTCAAATACATTCGTAAGTGTATATATTGCAAGAATAATATGGACAAAAGAGAGGGACAACAACCAGGCAAAACACGGACATAGCGGACAAGCACATCATACATTCATAGAAAGTAGAGGCGCAGCGACAAGAATACGAAGACGAAAAGAAGCGAGGGAGAGGGAGAGAGAAAGACATAAATTTAAGGAAAACGATGAAGTGACAGCGAGACGCGCAAAAACAGGATTCAGTCTCTTATACCTCGATATATTAAGTCGAAGCCGCCGATAGTTTTCTCCTCTCCCGTGAGGCTGCACACAAGCAAACAACCCTGTGGCTGCTGCAGCAATGCTGCTAATGCATGTGATGCTGTTGCTTCTTCATGTGAAACAGCTAATGCTGGAGCTGCAGGCACAGATGGTGCTGCTGATGATTACTGCTTCTGCTGTTGCTGATGTTGCTTCTGCAAGTCCACGTGCACGTGCTGGAGCAACTGGTTGATCTGTTGTTGCAGCTGCTGTTACAGCTGTTGCTGTTCTTTCTACTGCTGCTGCTGACAGGTTTTCCATATCGACAATTGTGAGAAGATCATTTAGCATGTCGAATTTGAATTTGTAGTCCTCTTCTGTCGTCGCTGGAAACAGCCACAGACGATAGCGTCAGCAGTGGCAAAGACCACAGCAGCAGAAGCCCGCAAGCAAGTGTGACATTCGCTAAACAGCCTCGGGAAACAGCCGGTACAGCCGCTGGGGCTTCTGCTTCTACACTTGACCCTGTAACAGCAGCTCTAGCACGAGGGGCAGAAGCAACACTAGCAACAGCAGGAAAAAGAGAAGTTGTGCATATTTATGCCGCAGCCAGTAAAGAATGCTTGCTTCGTCTATTGCTGCTGCGTGTGCCGCTTTCGTGGGAGCTGATCCTGTTTGTTTTGCTGGTGTTGTTGCTAATGCTATTGTCATTGGTTCTGCGTCTGATGCTCGTGTTGCTGCTCCTGCGGGCAGTCTCGCCTGCACCTGTCAAGGAAGGCGAAGCATTCACTTCCAATAGCCAGGGCCTGCAGCAGCAACAGTAGCAACAGTAGCAACAGCAGCAACAGCAGGAGAAAGAGAACCATTAAGTACTTGCTGCATTCCTATAAATGGAAATTTTCAACTTGGTATATCCCGCCTTTTGCATTTATGTGATATTTGGTTGGCAAATTCACATGGACTCCATCATTTGTTACTGCTTTTCGTTTTTCTTGCTTGCCGCTTGTGTTTAGTTGTGTTTGAAATTTTTTTTCCTTCCTTCGTAAGGGCTAGAATGCGGCATTTGCCATGGCTAAGGCGTGTGGTGCATTTGTTTATTGAGGCACATTGAAAGGGGACACATTGTTACGCCTTCGATTCCGTGCTGGATTGTTGGCCATTTCCTACTGGCTACCTGAAGGTGCTGTTTGCCATCATTTATTGCTCGCTTATTCTGTATTATGTGGCTATACTGTATTATTCAGGTTTATTACAATAAGATTCACATTATCATATTATCGCAATATTTCGTGGTTTTCCACCATCAATTATGTGTTGTTTGCAGTTTCCCCGTTGTTCGTCTGTTTTTGTTTCGATCGTTTGTGAATTTGTATTGAACCTTCGTTTGTTTTTATTTCGACTGCTTTTGGTTCTGGAGTGTAGTTTTGGCTTTTTAGTGTTTGTTTGTTTGTGGTTTGCCATAGGGCTTGCCTCAATGACGCATCAATCATAATGTCGTAGCCATAAAGCTCGCAGCAATGTTTGTCATTGAGAATCGTCTGAAGACTCAACGCAATCTGGCCAAGGTGGACCATGTGCTAAATGAGGTTTGCGAGCAACCCAACAAGGTGTCAGAAGCGCTGTACCCAAGTGTGCAAAAACCTCCGAGGCATACGGCATGAGTTGGAGGCAGGCACATGGAGTGGGTGTAAATTTGAAAGTGCTGGTGAAAGGAACTAAATATAGCTAAACAGAAGGAAACGTGAAAGTGGGTGGAGACAAAATAAACAAGAAGCGCAGCAAATAAGAAAGCAAACGAGCACAGTAATAAGAAAGCAAACGAGCACAGTGTTACAGTCCACCGACGAAACATGTGCATGTATAGTACAGGGTAGCAATGCTTTTGCTGCTGCTGCTGCCTCGAGGCACACTCCTACTCCGACGCAAACCGACGAAACTAAGAAATAAACAAGCAACACCAGGAATGCAGACAGGCAAACCTGCACAAAACAGACAGTGCAACAACATGCCTTCTGCACCGCTAGGAGGGAGTTGAGGACGATTTGCTGAATATCCTTCATCAGATCTTCGACCCTTTCCGAGCCAAACCTGAGCAGCAAATTGCACTCGGCCGCAGGGGCAAGGGCATCTAGTGTACTTGAAGACCTCAACGCAGAATAGCATCATAGGTAGAGAATACCAACAGCATCATAGGTCGAGAAGGTGGTATTAATTCCGCTCGCACTAGCGGTAGCACAACAACACAGCGACTACCTGCGGCTGTAACAGCAGTAGCACGATCATCAACAATCACATCTGCTTTAAAAGCAGCATTCTGTTGTATTTATGTTCTTTGTGGTGTTCTTCGTTGTTGCAACTCCCAGCGTGCCTCTGTCCGGTGCTGTTTGATTTACTTGGCCAGCAGAAACAGTTTGAGGCTCCTCAAGGCCCACTTGCTCCCTCTTTCTTCGTCATAGTTCTCCGCTGTCTTTTGAATTGCAACATTTGTCAAATGAACGCCTGTACATTACATTCCTAGACGAGCAAGTCATCAGGAGGGCGAAGGAGGCAAAAAGCAGGAAGAAAGCTGTACTGCTCTTTTGTCTGTATCTGATCTTCGTTTATTTTAGAGGCTGTGTTGTGTTCGCTGTTATATTTGTTTCTTATCACCTTTCCCGCTGCCTCGATGCGCAGTTGACTACCACTTTGTTTATCGGTGGTTTGTCCTTGTCCGTCGCTGTCTGGATCTTTGAGTGTCTTCCTCTCTCGCTCACTCTCTCGCTACGATATTGCCGATGTATGCGTACTATGTGCATATGTCGACTGCTCTTTCTATTTATCTATCAACCTATCTAGTTAGCTAGCCAGCAAACTAGCAACTAGCAAGTTGCCTTCCCTACTCTCTCGCTCGCTTTTTCTTCCCTTTCTTAACAATATTTCAGATGTTCGCTGCCTCCTCTGCTTGGTTGTTTCCTATTCCTTCGTCGCTGCCTTACTCTAACTACTTTTATTCATTAATTCATTTTCTTCTCCCGGTCCGTCTCATCTGCCTCCGTTGCTCTGTGCTGCAGTTTCTTGCTGCACTTTCGTATACCTACTTGTCCAACTCCAGTGCTCATTGTTTTTGTGTGCTTTTCTGTTTACATATGTTTGTCACACTGCTCCGCTTTCTCCTCTATTCACCGTATTGATTTTACTTTCGCTCATCTTTGCACTTCATACACTTACAGGCCCATTTATCTTCCTGAGCTTCAATGCCCATTTGTTTACTTGGTTTTACCACCTGCTCTGAGGGCTACACGGCGCGTCTGGTTAGCAGCTGTCTGCACGGTATGTTTTCTGTGATTTCTATTTTTCGGTGCGTTTGTGCCTTGTGTTTCGTTCCCAAGTGAGTAACGTTTATGACTTAGTCCATCATGTATTTTTGCTTCTTTTGGTGTCAAGATTGTGCAATTTACTCAAGTTAGTCCTCTGGTCTTCCTGCATGCTGAAGTGAAGGCTCGAAAACCGAGCGAAGCCGCCGCGGTACAAATAAGCCGTCTGTACGCAACGCACGCAGAAAGGAGGTGCTGTAGCGGCGTTACAGAATATCAACACTTTAGCAGCAGCAAGGGCCAAAAGTGGTTACAGCAGCAGCCACCTATGCTGCAGCAGCCAGTGCACCGGCGACGAACAGCAAAACACACACAACAAACAGCATGGCAACAGCTACCGCACCAATATCTGCAGCAGGTCACACGATGAAGACTGCCGCAGCATCAGCAGCAACCCTCCGTCCTGCGCTTCTGTTGTATTCGTACACTACGTGGCACCCGGAAAACACTAAAATCAAGGGTCAAGTGAGTGCCAAATTGTGACAATGCGAAGTGCTGCATATTGATAAAAAGAAATTAAAACGGCAACTAACGAAAGGCAAGCATGGAACGTTAGAATCCTTTGAATGGAAAAAGACAAATGCTGCATATATGGAATGAATAAGAAGGAAAACGCAACATTTTATACTGCACAGGGCAAAAGGGGAGTCTCACACATATATGCAGTGTATAAGAAGAAACAAGAGAGAGTATGATAGCAAACAAATAACAAGCATGCAGCAGCTGTCAACTCACTAACGGAGCAAAGGACTTGACGAAACAGAAGAGTCTCAAGTCAAACTTCTTCCCTGAGCAGCCTCAGCGCCATTCAATGGGTAACATTGTGTTCTTGAGTGGTTTAAAATAATTGACACCGAACAAAATACACCGAGCAGCCTCTCCAGGAGCATGTTATGATTACGCTTTCTGTCTGTTGCTGTATCGCTCCATGCTTGTTTATTCGCTTATACGTGTACTCAATAATAAGTGTATTTTTTCAGTTTAGGGAGTAAAACGTGGGGTCCGTTTAGGACTTCGGGCCAATGTACACCCATGCACGTTAGTAGAGCAGCTCGAGTCGCTTTCTATTGTGTTGTCTTATAATTTCCCTGCTCTGCGTTTCTTCTTTTCTTGTGTTTGATTTCAAATACCAACGAGAAGAATGGACGGTAGCCGAAACAAGCATAAGAGATTGAGCTACCCTAAAGCGGTGAAGAAGCTGACACGGAGTCCTGCCTGATTTACATATCATATCTAGTCCTATTAAACTGGGTTCTAATCTGGTAATCATGTGACCCCCGCCTGCTCATAGTGTAGAGTATGCTGCGGTTTTGCTCCTTTTTCCTCTCCCACAAAAAATATCAACAAAAGCAGCTGACCCCCAACAACGAGAGGATCTTGGATGTACTTTTGACAAACATATGCCTCAGCAGTTTGTTCTGAGTCTTCGATGTTTTTGGCAACCTGGCTGCTTGAGCCTTTCCCCTCAGGCGGCCCTCGGTGGCTTCTGCCGTCTCCTCTCCACTCCCTTAAGTTCACCAACAGAAACAATTTAACATAATTAAAGGTAATTAAGTTCACGTCTTCAGAGTTGGCATAAGTGTTTTCCTGCAGGAGGGCTGGCCCCCATCTAAATCTTGCATTCGATTTGGTTTGCTGCCATGGGTGGATTTGCTTGCTGTTGCTGGCTGCTCCACATAGCTTTTGCTTTCATATTTACGTCTGCTGTTGGCGTTACCAGGATTTTTCTCGTGTTTTTACTTCTGCACTACCCTTGTTGTGGGTTGTAAAAGGGGAGTTCGTTGTATTGTTGTTTACTTCTGCTGCTGTGTAGGTATTACACACGTCAGCACTCTCCGTTTACCCGACCACTATTCCTGCTATCAGACTCAATTCTGAAATCTGCCTCACGCTAACTGCGATAACTTCTCGATTAAGAAGATGCCTTTGCCTTGAGACCTGCCCACCGGCTTCATAATCCAAACAGAGCCTCCTTTCTGTGCTGCAGTGCGTTTGAACTCCTCAACGAAAATCGAGTACTCCTAAAGCATAAGGCTGTTCTAATAGATTGCCTTCAAATAAGTAATTAAATTACACGCTGTGAGTAAAAGAGTGGCGCTTTGGTGAAAATGATAAAACCACGGTAATTTGCAAGAGGGCTAGAACCTCATCGGATTATAAAACCACGTAAAATTCTAAAATTCACCGCTTTATACAAACACATAAATATCTTACTAGTTATGCATTCAAGTATACACTTATGGCAAAGCATACGGACAGGCATTCGCACAGAATAACTGGTGATAAGACAGGACAACAAACAAGAACAAATGGCACCGAGAAGCGCCCAGTAAGACAATAATCAAACATTTCATACTCCCTAATATACAGTAAATATGCATACAAGCCCGATACAATATGTATTTTTTGAAGTCCTGTACTATTATTGAGTACTCATTGATCTGTAGTTACGACTGAGCACTCAAAATATATGCTCAAGTATAGACAAGAGGAAGAACGAACAACAACGCTTACAAGCGGAAGCAGAAACGTTTGTGGACAGATATTGAAGCTGCAGTGCAACGCAGGACAGAAATATGAACGGTATGATGCAGAGATGAACCTGTGCTTGCTAGTCTCCTTGTCTTCGTCATTTTACATGACTGTTCTCAGTGTGTCCTGTACCTCTCTGCTTCTTGTTGCCTGCAGTCTCTCTCGAGCTGTCGTTTGTGCCTTCTGAGATTGCGAATGAGAAAGTCTTTTCTCGTGAGCTGTCCGGAAAAACAAAAGAGAACCACTTAAGGGAATATTTTGGGAAGCCTGTTGCTGCTGGGTGAGGTCAATGCTCAAGTCTCAGCTCTCAAAAGAATGTTTACTGACAAAGGCATCCGGATAACGTTCCCAGCCTTTGTTAGACACACAGGTGGAACTGCACTTTTTACTTATATGGAGGCCCTACTTGGTGGTGATTGCGGAAATGGTTTATTCTCTGATTCGGCTGAAATCTGAATCGATCGAAACTTTCGCTTATCCATTCTTTGTCGCACCAGAAGAAGTCCCATTCCGTTTCACTAGAGAACATAAACAGATTAAAATCGCCTTAAAACGATTGTAGATTGCCACAAAACCTGTCACTGCCTTCGTCTTCGCTGTTTATATCTTCCTAGTTGCAGTCGGCAAGGGAGTTCTGATTATGTTTCCACCTTGCATTGTGTGTTTACAAAAGGGCCAATGAATAAATTCCCATTTATTTGTTCATTTAGTATTTCAATCTGCAGTTGCGTGCCTGTCAGTCTCTTTCCACCCTCTCTTGCGCAGGACATCAAGCATCGTGTTGCGGAAAGCGCAACGGAATCGGATTGGTGGCCTGGCGAATATTCGGGGAGAAGTGATGGAAGACTTGGGCAGGCAGGATAAAGCTGCACTCATATTCATATTTGATTTATTTAACTACTTTAAACGGCTGAAGTACTGCTACGGCTCACCTCACGGCCAATCTGTCGTCAACAGACTTCCTGTTGCTCACAGCTGTCGCCATGGGCGTACTATCCAAATATGGATAGAGCGGACTAGATTTCTTTCTCTCGGAAATACCCTTCGACGTTCCATTAATTGCTTCTTCGGCCTTTTCTCCATCTCTCCTGTAGCAAAGAGGTGTCAAACAAATCCCTCCCCTCTGATATCCCACAAGGCACTCATACATCGATGACCCAAATGTGGGTGCTGCTTTTAACTTTGCGCACGCAATATGCTCTAGTCAAGGCTCAGCAATCAGGCGAAAGCGCTTGACTTCGGCCTCAAGACACAGAAATACAACAGCAACGGACAATACGAATTGAAGACACTTAACCCCAAGGAATTCGCAAGCAACCTCAACTGTCCAGCTTTGGCGCTTCAACCGCGAAAATTGCGTCTTCGCAGGTGGTCAGATTACAACAAATATTATTTTTTGCTGCTTTGTGGGGCGCGATTCATCATGATTTCGTATCCAAGGGAAGCCGCAGGACGGGACCGCTGGGGTCCTCTCTGAAATTTCTCACCTTGGCCGTCCTAAAACCTCCATTGATGGACAGAAGGAATATTTATTAGTGATGGTTCATTAAAATGTTATAAATAATGTTTTTACGAAGTCTCACTGTCTAGACATTCTTCGAGAACCTGTCTAGTTGCCACCGCAACTAGCGGGAAGCTGAACGTAACGGCAGGCTGAAGCCGTTGGTCCGGTTTAATGACGGTGTGACGTAAATGCATCTGAAACTGCAACTAAGCCTTGACTTTTTATGTTGCAATTCAAACAGTTCTATTCGCTCTTTTCGACGACAGGCAATCTACGCAGACACCGCATTCAGTACAGGCTGCGCCGTGGCATCAAACCGGGCGACCCTATCTAGAGTACAAGGAGGCAAAATGGATCTACGCAAAGCTAAGACGAGATTTAAGCAGTTAAACAGAGGTATATATGCAATTGTCGCGCAAACAAATTCCTCCTACACTATAAACTGAAAGACACAGGGATGGGGGCCCCTGGGTTGGCTCGCGGGTTCGTGGCAGCGGAGGCGCAGCTGCATGCATGCAACTGCGTTTTCCCTGCTATTTTTTAAATTCGTGAATTTAGTATTTAATTCCCATTTTCCACCATCGTTCCTACTTTCCGAACGACGGGCGGCGGAGCAGAGCCCCTCCTGCCGTGCGGTCGAAGTAGGAACACGGCGATGCCCCAAGGGCGCTGCTACTGGTAATATGCAGAGGACCACGTCACCGGACGTCCTGTAACTCTTCAGGCCTCCCATTAGTGCACAGGTTATTGTATACTGCTCTGGGTTCTGCTGTGAGCTTACTAAGCAGGGTGCCTCCCCTGTAGAGCGGCGTTCACCGCAGGGCGGCACCGAAATGACAGCAGCAGCAGCGGTAGGTATCGCCAGTAGTAGCACTGTGTGCTATCACAGTGATGGCGGTGAAGAAGGAACAACTTCAGCAGCAGCAGCAGGCGCTGCCGCTGCCGCTGCTGCTGCTGCTGCTGCTTCAGTAGGGGACTTCCTGGGTACCCTGGGGAAGCTGCGTTCGTTGCTGCGTCGTATGCACTACCCTGCAGTAACAGCAGCAGCGGCGACAGGCAGCGAGTGGTGCAGCAGCAGCAGCGAACAAGAAGCAGTTGCTGCGGGAGCTGTCGACGCACTTCTGCCCATCATTCACTTTGCAGTTTGTGACTTCAGCCCAAATGTTCATAGCTTTCTTCGACGCCGCGGCTTCGAGTTTCTCTTCAAGTCCGACAAGCGGTTCGTTGAGGAAGTCTGGAAATTCCTGGTGAGACCAGAAAACATTCTAGATACAGCCATGAAGGCGGCTGCGCTGCTTACAAAGGAGTTGTGCCGGCAGACGCATAGTAGCATGTTACGTTGTTGTTGTTGCTGCTGGTGGTGCTGCCAGCATCTGTTGCTGCTGCTTTAAGGACTTCTCCGTGCGGAGGGGGAGTTTGTCCGCTGCACAGGCAGCGATAGCAACAACAACAGCAACGACACCAGCAGGAGTAATTGTGACAAAAGACAACTACGAGAATAGCAATCACAGCGGCAAAAGGCCTGCAATCGCAACGACAAAAACAGAAGCAAACGCATCCGCAGTATCAGCAGCAGGAGGCATGGTTACTGCGTGTGCGTTTTGCTGCAGCGGCAAGAGTGTGGGTATCGGCCTGCTTTGACGGCCTCACAGTTTCTGACACCCGTCGGCTTTGCGGAGAGGAAGCTGCTGCTGTGTTGTGACTTGCTTACGATCGTCCGCGCTATCCATAATCAGGTGCAGCTAGACAGACGCAGGGCCAAAACCTTGCACCAACACCAACAGCAACAGCAGCAACAGCAGAAGCCAACGGCCTTCATGTTAGAAGAAACCGGGGCGCCCAAGAAAGCCGCTGCTTCTCCAAGTCTCCGCAGCAGCAGCGGCAGCTTCAGTTACAGGCATCCGCTTGGAGGTGAACAGAAGCAACAACAAGAACAACAGCAACAACAGCAACAACACCAGCAAGGTTCCAGCAGCAGAAGTGGCAGCGCCCCAGTCCCTCAGGCTAGGCTGGCGATGCCTGCAGCAGCGATAGTGCCTCCTGCTGCGTTTTCTGTTGGAGCAGAACAGAGAGTGGTTTCTGCCCTCTTACAGAATGTCGCCTCTGTAAGGTTATTGCAACCGTTTTTCTGTTGCAGTTGCCACTGTTGCTGCTGCTGTCCCCTTTGGATACCAACTAGTTTCCGTGTGTTGATGCCACTGCTGCACGTTGCATTGCTCTCATCTTCCCACATGTTGCGTCGATGCTGCTGTTGCTGTTGTTTCCAGAGTGTGTCTTCACTACAGCTCTCCGGGCGTGTGCAGTCGGCTATCGATGATCTGCGGGTACATATGCAGCAGCTGGAGAGACGCGTTGCTGCTATAGAGAAGAAGCAGCAGCAGCATGATGCTGCTGCTGGCGTGTTTTACCCTACAACATCAGGGCTTCCCAAGGAGCCATTTGCTGCTCCTGTTTCATCTGCTGCTGCTTCGTGCAGCTGCGCTTGTAGCAGGCGAGCCTGCTGCGCTGCTAGCGATATTCCACTACAGCAGCAGCACGGAGCTACACATCAACATGGGCAGCAGCAGCACAAGCTGCAGCTACTGCAGCAACCACAACCAGTATCTCAGCAGCAACAGCAGATACTGCATTACAACCAGCATCTGCTCCTTGAGCAGCAGCGACTGCCCCATCAGCAGCAGCAAGTGCAACAGCTGCAACACCAACAGCTACAGCCGCTGCAACAGCAGCAAAAGCATCTGCTGATGCAGCAGCATGTGTTGGTCCCCCATGCAGGAGGATCGCTGCCTCTAAACGACTGGCAGCAGACTACAAGCGGACATGCTGCCCCTGGTGCAGCAGCAGCACCTAACGCGGCAGCATTGAGCTCAGCAACAACCGCAGCAGATGAAAAGCTGGAGGAGAGCGTCAGACGGATATCGCAGAAGATTCAGGCTCTTCAAGGAGCTCTCCATGGACCTAGTGCAGCAGACCATTCTGCTGTTTGTGCTGCTGCTTGTGGTGCTGTGGCTGCTCCCGTTGCTGCTGCACCCATGGCAAGTTCAGCGGCGTCAGCAGGTCCTGGTGCTGCTGCGTGCGCTAACGACATGACAGCGTTTGCGGACATAGCAGCAGCAGCTGTTGCTGCAGCGGCAGCTACTGAGGGAAAAGTTTCTGGAAGGGCCGCTCCACCAGCAGCAACGACAACGCAATTGGAACAGCCGCCTCCTTCGCCTTCCTTGTTTCCTGCTCCGGGCAGCACATTAGCAAAGAGCGGCAACAGCACCCACGGCAGCATTCAGCTGCCTCCGCTGCAGCATGAACTGCCCGTGTTGCACCAGCAGAACTGGCCTGGAGACCAGCAGCAGCCCCAGCAGGATGATGTGCAGCAGCGACCTGCGGAACAGCAGGACTGTCACGAAAGGCTGCATGTACCGCAGTTCGGCACAGCGGGGGTTTACGAGGTCTCAACAGCAGCAGCAGCAGAGGGAGGAGTCACAACAGGAGCAGCAGCTGTGAATGGCCCTTTGGTAGCCTCTGATGTAGGCGTTCAAGGTTGTGCTGCCGAGAAGGGACCGGAACAGCAGCAGACGAGGCAGCAACAGTTGCTGCAGGAAACGCCTTTTTTCGGTCTGGGTCATAGCACAGACTCAGCTGTGACTGAGGCTTCAGGCAGCAACTTAAGGCAAGCTAACAACTCCGTTGGGGGTTCCCACACCTTCACTGGAGCAGCGCCCCTCCCAGTGTGGCCTCCCTATTTGCAGCTCTGACCTTCTGCAGCTCCGGAAAACCAAAAGGAAGGCAGTTTAGCGTTCTGCTTGCCTGGGTACGGATAACTGCACCAGCTGCTGGGGCAGCTTTGTATTGTCTACAGAGAGTTCAAACAATCTGATTATATTCGCTTGGCTGTGCTGCTGTGCTCTAGTTTATCGGCAAGACGACGCTAAGACTGTCACCACTAGAAACACTGCTTTCTGTGGCATATGCATGTGCACGCACACAGTACCAGAGGTGTGCATACACCCCAGAGTTCGGTGGAGCGACGCTGTCTGTCGGGTACGCCGCCAGCAGCAGTTCATCTGTTGTATATTTGGAGTTTGTATTCGGCACTATGGCGAACAGCCGCAAGCCGAGCAGCTGCTGCCTGTTGGTTTACTGCCTCCGATTATAAACACTGCAGCAAAGCAGGGCCTTCAAAGGAGGAGTAGGCTTCTAAGGGAGGGGGAGCTGCTTCTTCCTCCGAGCAGTAGTGCCCTGTCAAAAGAATTGTCCTCCACCCGTGAACCGTGGGGTTTACTATGTACACCCGCTCTTTGTTGTTAGCCCTGTATGCTCCACGAACTCACAAAGGCAGATAACCCTGCATGCATCATTAACTCATGGGAGCTGAAGGAAGCCGCTGCTGCAAGGAAGCACCCCAGCAGCACAGCACCCTCTTTGCCGCACAGCTGTGATGCGACGACGAGATCGCAGCAGCGGCAACAGCAGCTTCTCGTAGTAGGAGGGAGCATCATCCGACACCCCTCGTTCTCCCCCAGCGCCCGTCGTTTAGTTCCTTCTGCACTGTGCTGCCCCTTCACAGCTCATCGTGTGTTTGCTGTCGTCCCACATGGCTTCTTCCTCCCTTAACCATCTGTCGACTCCAGGCCACTTCACCTCTCTCTAATAGGCAGCCATCCTCACTGCATCCACGCAGTGGGGAGTCAACACTGTCTGCTTCAGCGGCTGCCTAGAGTTGGGAACGCCTGTGTGTCTCTGAGGTCTGGTGCTGCAGCACTTTCCTTAGTTCTTGCGCTTCTAGGGCCCCCGCCGCCCCTCCTCAATCTGTCGTCTCTGGGGCCCCCGCGAGCTGCGCCTCCCCTACCTCCTCTCCTGCCAAAGGAGGGAATCCTGCCGCCCTCGATGTGCACATACTCATATAAGTTCACGGACTTCTTCTTAGGTTTGTCTTCTCTGTTGTCCTGGCCTTCCTCGTTGCTGCGGGCCCCATCGTCCTCCTCCCTCACTACGCGCACGTAACCCTGAGCCTCAAGCTCCTTGTCGGTGTTAATCTTCTTGGGGGCCCCATCAGCAGAAACAAACGAAGGCAGGTTAGCTCGTTTTTCCTCTTGCATGCGCTTGTACGTCTCCAGATCAATCGCCTCCTCCTCCGGGGCTGCAGGGCTCTGCTCCTCCCCTCCTTCCTCACCAGTTCTCTGTAAATACACCCCAAAAAACACCCTTGCTACTCCACACCATGCCTCCTCCTTCGCATGCAGCCACCGCACTTCTCTTTCTCTGCCTGAGCATACTCTCTTCTCTTACCTCTTCTGGTGTCTCTCCAGCGACCTCGGGCTCCACCTCCTTCGCTGCAGCATCCTCCTCAAGCAGCGCGTCCGTCTTAACAGGGTGGTTCTCTGCTTCTTCCTGGCCCCAGTTGTGGTTACCTGCTCCGTGCTTCTTCACTTCGCGCCCCCTACCCGTGCCGCTATGGCGGGCGAACTCCCGCC